TCTCGTCACTTTTTCTCTCGTCACTTTATCTCTCATCACTTTATCTCTCATCACTTTATCTCTTGTCACTTTATCTCTCGTCACTTTATCTCTCGTCACTTTATCTCTCATCACTTTTCTCGTAATTTTATCATCGCGGAGAGCAAGGTTCGCGAATAACGAGCGTTCATGGAAATCTACGGAGTTGGTCAAATAGCCCAATAAATGTAGGACCACAGAGCTTGGGCAATCGTTGGCGTCACTTGTCTGTGGTCCCCCCCCCCCCCCCCCCACGTCTCTGAGTCTCACGGAAGAAAAACAAAACTGTGAGCTTAAAAAAAAAGTGACCGTACACTTTTAATTTAACCTTTTTTTTTCGTTTCACTCAAATCTGAGCAAGTCCAAGCCAACAGGCAGATGTTTGCACAACGAAAGCGACAGCTAATGCGTGCTGCAAAAAACATCGCCGCCGGGCAAGCGGCGGTGCGGCGGCTAAGCAGGGGAAAACAGTCACGCTCCGAGCGGCGCGGGCCCAGTTCAATTCCAAAGCCGCGGCCGACGTGAGCCGCCTGGTGTGCGTGCTACGTAGTGGGGCGCCGCCGCCGCGGTGGGCGAGACGTCAACTCCCTTAGCCGAATAAAAATCCGCACGCTGAGACTCGATCCAAACAAAAAAAAATCCCGCAGATTGCCGTCGTCGGCTGCCTGGCTGAAGTGCCTCCGAATGGACGGCAACAGCTTGGGCCGCATCGACGGCTCGACACGGCCGGCACCGAGCGAACGGAGACACCGGCCGGACGAAATTCACTCGGGAACTGCGAGCGTCGAGTCAAGTTCCACGGGGGGGGGGGGGGGGGGGGGGCGGGGGAAGGTGTTCGAGCCGGCGACTAAAAAAATGATACAACAAAAATTCCGAAGAGGCACCGGTCTGGAACTTTGTAAAACAAAACTACGGGCAGGAAGCAGGGAACCCCGGAGGTCACCCAGGAGGGCATCCCGGAGGTCACCTCGGAGGTCACCCCGGAGGTCACCCAGGAGGGCACCCCGGAGGTCACCTCGGAGGTCACCCCGGAGGTCACCCAGGAGGGCACCCCGGAGGTCACCCAGGAGGGCACCCCGGAGGTCACCTCGGAGGTCACCCCGGAGGTCACCTCGGAGGTCACCCAGGAGGGCACCCAGGAGGGCACCCCGGAGGTCACCTCAAAGGTCACCCCGGAGGTCACCCAGGAGGGCATCCCGGAGGTCACCCAGGAGGTCACCTCGGAGGTCACCTCGGAGGTCACCCCGGAGGTCACCCCGGAGGTCACCTCGGAGGTCACCCCGCTCGTGGGGTACTAGAGCTTTGCGTTGAGGGGATCGGCTCCCTGTGTACTACCGCTGCCTGCCCAAATTCCTCACCCTGCTCGCCTACAAATCCCGGCGCCGTCTTTCCCCCACCGTGTAGCTCGCCACGCTTGTAGCCTTCGGCCCGTCGCCTTCTCGCCCTCAATCTTTGCCGTCTCTCATCTCTCTCTCTCTCATCTATCATCTCTCTCTCTCTCGCTGTTCCTCCATCTCCTTGCTGCTTTACACGCGCTTTCGCTCCCTCTCTCATCACTCTAGCCACCTTCACTGAAACAAACTTAAGCGGGAAACCTTGAGACATTTAGTGGAAGGCGAATGACAAATTGATGTAAATCATCGTTATTATCATTACCACCTTCACTCACGAGTTTCCGCTCCTCACTCAAGACTCACTTCTTGTTACCTCGAGCCCACCCCCACGACCCCCTCAATCTCCCCCCTCATATCCACCTTCCCTATTGACAACTCTTTTTACACACATACACACACACACAAACGCGCGCGCGCGCAGACATGTGCAATGATCTCCTCTTCATACTCTTTGGTTCTATTGGGTAAAGTCACGTAGGTAAAAAATAAAATAACAAAAATCACGACGTTTCGGCCACAACACAAGCGGCCTTCATCAGGTGAAGGGACGAGACTGTCTGGAGGACAGCGCTGGAGTGAAAAAAGCCACGCTCAGATCACGACCTTTAAGCTGTGTGAGAAGAAACAAAGCGCCTTGACAAAGGAATTAGCATAGAATTTAGCATTGAAATGGCTGAGTGATTAGCTTGTGACTGGTCACAGAAATGGCTATGATCTGAGCGTGGCTTTATTCACTCCAGCGCTGTCCTCCAGACAGTCTCGTCCCTTCACCTGATGAAGGCCGCTTGTGTTGTGGCCGAAACGTCGTAATTTTTGTTATTTAATTTTTTACCTACGTGACTTTACCCAATAGAACCAAAGAGTATGGATCCTTGCAGCCACGAAAGCTTTAAATCTAGAATCTTCTCTTCAGTTTAACGTCTTGCTAATTAAACAAGTTGACACCTGGTCCCTTGGCTTCCAGCGGCTGTGTAGCGGCGAGCGCGCTGCTGCGCTACGAACCCGGCGAGCCGAGTTCGCTTCCCGCTCACGGGTGACGATTATCTGAACCGGTCCCGCGCCTCCCCTAGGTCGACTCGGCCTCAAACGAGTACCCGGTGCGGTGCGTAGTAAACATCGCCACTGGGGAGACAAAGGCGGTCGGGCGTGGTGCTGGCCAACGACCTCGTGCTCGCGAACAGCACTTGCCCCAGCAGTCCGTTGAGGCTATACGGGGAATCTTTGTCCTTTGCCCGTCCGAAACGTTAGCTGATAATCGTGGTGGATAAAAAAAATTGAACCTGCGATCCAGATGTCTCTGGGTTCGTTATTTTTAAATCTATCTCCAGGATCAATGGGGCAAGATTCTTAAATTGCACCCCCCCCCGCCCTCCTGTCCACCCAGCAGTATCTCCGATTAGCACGCTAGGCTTACGTACGGCGCGAAAGAACTTCCACATACGTCGTGTATAAATGGGGGGGGGGGGGGGGGGGTGGGGAGTGGGTGCGGTGGGTACACCGCAGTCAGTCTATCCGCAAGCCGCGTGCGCGTGGTGGGGTCACGTGTGGGTATTCTCTCGCCTCTTTCCTGATGACCTTTTTGGGTGTCTGTTGAGTCGTTTCTTCACCACGATCGCCAAAACGACGCTCGTCACTTCACCGCGCCGTGACTCCTGCCCACCCGGTGGCTCTTTGCTGCCTGACCCCTGGATCCCCCGTTGGAGAGATTTTGGCTTCGGGTTCTCTCGGAGTTCCGCCAATTCACGCCATCGATGGAGGCGGACAGCCCCGTAACCCGAAACTCTACCCTCAACAAATTGATTCGTACAATACTCTTTGGTTCTATTCGGTAAAGTCACGTAGGTAAAAATAAAATAACAAAAAATCACGACGTTTCGGCCACAACACAAGTGGCCTTCATCAGGTCAAGGGACTGGGCTGTCCAGAGGACAGCGTTGGAGTGAAGACAGCCAAGCCCAGATCGCGTCCTTGTCTTCACTCCAATGCTGTCCTCTGGACAGTCCGGTCCCTTCACCTGATGAAGGCCACGTCGTGATTTTTGTTATTTTATTTTTACCTAAGTGACTTTACCGAATAGAACCAAAGAGTATGGATCCTTGCAGTCACGAAAGCTTCAAATCTAGATTCGTACAATAGTCACCACCTGCATACGTTTAACGTCTCGTTTAACGTCGTTTGCAATGAGTACACTACCAGGGTCAGTCTCTAAAAAAGAATCTGCCCGAGCTGACAATAACAATGTATCGTTATCATTGATTTGTATGCGCAATATTGAGTGATGTTATTTTCTTGAGTTTTGCCATTTCCACGTGTCATCGCTGAACAGCACTTCACTTGCCTTGATTGCTATTAAACAAACACATTGTTTTGAACAAACTTTTTTTTTCATTTGTAACCAGGTAACGGCTCATTTTCAGAAGCGACCCGTCTATCACAAATGATAGCCCAACGAAGTGGCTCATCATCATCATCATCACGTGGACGTTTACATCAACCTCTAAACGCGTGACGTTGATTTTAAATATTGAGGCAAAAACCCGGAGGACTCGGAGAAAAATCCATGCCTCCACTGGGAGAGAGAGAGAGAGACACGCAGACTCCAAATACACAGCAGCAGCAGGCGTCAGGGTCGGGATCGAACCCACGACCTCCTGCATACCAGGCGAGGTAGTTAACATCTCCTAGCCAGCGTGGCGTCTTGTCATTGGTGGCGCAGGTCACTCTTGCAAACGAGACTCCTCCTGGTCTCTGTAATCCTCACCTTGTTAATCCCTTTCCCGTTCCGAGACATCTGCCAAGTTGCAGGGGTTTGGGTGTACCGTTCACCGCCGAGTCTCGGAACGCGCGAGCGTGTTCAGCGTTCATTTTACTAAGAGAGGCGCAGTAGCACCGTTGGTTTTAAAGGCGTTGTTACTCACCGCGGAGATCCATAGCGACACGACCACAGCCATTCTATGATAGCCGGAGCCAAATCTGTACCACACGGCCCTCCCTTCCGCGTGGCCAAGTGGGAAGCTTCTGTACCGATGAAGTTATTTCATGTTCGTTTATCTTCCTGGTCTCTGTTTGATGACGTACGTACACTTGCACATCATTGGAACGGGATCGGACGAACAACCGATGATGTGCACACGTATGTCATCGGAACGCATGTGTGTACGTCAGCAGAACGGGATCGGAAGAACAACCGATGATGTGCACACGTACATCATCGGAACGGACGTTTGTACGTCATCAGAATGGGATTGGAAGAACAAACGATGATGTGCACACGTACGTCATCGGAATGTACGTGTGTACGTCATCAGAATGGGATTGGAAGAATAAATGATGATGCGCACACGTACATCATCGGAACGTACGTGTGTACATCATTGGCATGGGATTGGAAGAACAAACGATGATGTGCACACATACGTCATCGAAATATACGTGCGTACGTCATTGGAACGGGATCGGAAGAACAAACGATGATGTGCACACGTACGTCATCGGGAACGGGAAAGGTTTAAACAAAACAAATAAATAGCACTGCATCCCAACGTCCTGCTCCCCCCCCTCCCCCTCCCCCGGTGCCGTTTTCCACAGGATTCGAGGATGTCTTGGCGGCTGGGAAAGATTATCTCTCAGGGGTGGGAGGCTCGGCCCCCCATGGCTGGCAGCAGGCCTCTGCTGCTTGGAACGACACCGCGTACCCCGTGTGGCCCCCCAACGACACGCGCTGGGAGAGCAACTGGCGAGGTGCTCCCGCGGGCCTCACACACGCCACACACGGCCCTCGGCGAGGTGGTAAACATCTCACGGTGGCTAGGAGATGTTAACTGCCTCGCCTGGTATGCAGGAGGTCGTGGGTTCGATCCCGACCCTGGCACCTGCTGCTGTATATTTGGAGCTTGCTATCATTTGTGCTTGCCAGGTCACTTCTGAAAAAAAAGAGTTACAGCTCAGTGGACCTTACCTGGTGAATTAGGCAAAGGTCCCCCACATAGCCTTTAACAGACTGCTGGGGCATGTGCTGTTAGCGAACCCCCCTATTAAAGGCCGACACGGTTCATGAGGGGGTGGGTGGCCAGCACCACGCACGGCTGCCTCCGCCTCTCCAGTGCTGAAGTTTTAGACACTTGCCCCAGGTGTGAACGTAAGACCGAGGCAACAGCTGACATTCACTGTCCCCATCCAATAATTGTCCCGAACCCATCGCGATCCCGATCCCATTACTGTCCCAATCCCATCACGATCCCGATCCCACTACTGCCCCGATCTCATCGCTATCCAGATCCCATCGCTGTCCTGATCCCATCTCTATCCCGATCTCATCCACCGTCCCAATCCCATCCACCGTCCCAAATCCCATCGACTGACCCCGGTTCGCGTGGCCGCTGCGCAGGTGGCCGCATGAAGGTGATGCTGACCAGCGATGGCCCGTTCCTGGTGGGGCTCTCACATCACATTTTACTCGCAGCTTCACTTCCGATCCCATCCACCGTCCCAATCCCACCACCATCCCGATCCCAACACCATCCTGATCCCAACACCATCCCGATCCCATCACCATCTCAATCCCATCCAACCGTCCCAATCCCACCCACCGTCCCAATCCCATCCACCGTCCCAATCCCAACACCATCCCGATCCCATCACCATCCCATTCCCATCGCCATCCCAATCCCATCCAACCGTCCCAATCCCATCCACCGTCCCAATCCCATCCACCGTCCCAAATCCCATCGACTGACCCCGGTTATGCCGTGGCTGCTGTGCAGGCGGCCGCATGAAGGTGATGCTGACCAGCGACGGGCCGGCCCTGGTGGGCTCTCGCATCACATTCTACTCGCAGCTCCACTTCCCCCGCGGACAGCGGGCACAGCCCAACGGCCGCGCCGCCTGGGCCCAGAACGGCACCGTCGACGGTACCAGCGGCGTCAGCTCGCCTCTTGGCTTCGTGTGCCACACCGCCTCCTTGCCTGTTGTTGTCTTGGTGTGGTCTGGGACTGTTGTTGTTGTTGTCTTGGTGTGGTCTGGGACTGTTGTTGTTGTCTTGGAGTGGTCTGGGACTGTTGTTGTTGTTGTTGTCTTGGTGTGGTCTGGGACTGTTGTTGTTGTCTTGGTGTGGTCTGGGACTGTTGTTGTTTTTTCGCTGCCTTGCCCGAGCTTGAATTTAGTATTGAATAATCGGCAGGAAGTGATATTATTTGTAAATTGTTTATTGACTTGTTTACCTTTTTAATAGTTTATCACGTGGTATGCTTTCGCGACCAATATCATGCATAATGGAGGTATTTTGGGTTAGATTGTTTAAATGTTTTCCTTTTTTATACGTTGCACGCCTATTGGTGTTCGCGTTGTTTGTTGTTGTAACTTTCTGGCCACCCGGTGCCACTTACCGCACGGACGTCTGCGAAAAAAAGAGCTTCCTAGCTCTTCGGATTCCTCCAACCCCTTCCTCCCTCCTCCTCCCTCCCACCCCTTCCCACCCCCTCGCTCCTCCCTCCTCCACCCTCCCACTTCCTCCTTTTCCCTCCTCCTCTTCCTCCTCCCTCCCTCCCTCCTCCTCCTCACCCCCAGTCTAAACAAAGATTCTGACGTCCCCGCGTGTTCCAGGGAGCCCCGTGAGTGCTGGTGACGAGGTGTACCCGGAGCTGAGCGAGAAGGGCCCGGGAGGCCGCCGCTCGTTCCCCGACGGGCGCCCCATGAAGAGGGGCAGGCGGGACGAGGACTACGTCTACGTGTTCTACACCAGGGGTGGGGGCACCCCCACCCCGCCCCCCTCGCCCCCCCCCCTCCAGCCCGCCCCTCTAGCCCTCCTCACCCCACACCCCACGCCCCCCTCACCCCCACCCCGCCCCTCTCATCCCCCTCACCCCCCTCCCTCACCCCCACCCCACCCCTCTCGCCCCCTTCACCCCCCACCCCGCCCCTCTCATCCCCCTCAGCCCCCGCCCCTCTCACCTCCCTCACCCCCAACCCTGCCCCCCTCACCCCCCACCTTACGCCCCCCTCACCCCCCACCCCTACGGCAAATCGCTAACCTTAAACTCCCAGTCGTTCATAAAAGTTGAAGGCGGTATAGTACTATAGTAATAGAGCAAGTGCAGAATCACTGAACTGGAATTGATAGCTTGGAAGAGTTTACCCTTGAAAGTGCGGGCCCCGTAGCTACTACATATGTAGTAGTAGCTACTATATATGTAGTACATATGTAGTAGCTGCTACTACTACACGTGTAGTAGTAGTAGCTACTATATATGTAGTGCATATGTAGTAGCTACTACATATGTAGTAGTAGCTACTATATAACCACATAAGTAGTAGCTACTACTACATAAGTAGTAGTAGCTACTACATAACTACATAAGTAGTAGCTACTACATAACTACATAAGTAGTAGCTACTACTACTACACGTGTAGTAGTAGCAGCTACTACATATGTAGTAGTACACCGTCACCGGTACGCGGGGTACACCGTCACCGGTACGTGGGGTACACCATCACACTACACATATAGTAGCAGCTACTACATATGTAGTTATTTTTGCCACTACGACAACCCCCCCCCCTCCCACTGCCCCGACGCTTGCAGGTCGATTCTGGGAGATCGGATCTCAGGTGACGGCGACGGTGACCATCGACACGAAGGACATCCCCCTGGGCGTCCACGTGGTGCAGCTGCTCGTCTACCAGGAGCGCCACAACAACCAGTTCATCCCTCTCGGCAACGCCACCGCAGAGTACACCATCACCGGTACGCGGGGTACAACGTCACCGGTACACGGGGTACACCATCACCGGTACGCGGGGTACACCATCACCGGTACGCGGGGTACACCGTTACCAGTACACGGGGTACACCGTCACCGGTACGCGGGGTACAACGTCACCGGTACGCGGGGTACAACGTCACCGGTACACGGGGTACACCATCACCGCTACGCGGGATACACCTTCACCAGTACACGGGGTACACCGTCACCAGTACACGGGGTACACCATCACCGGTACACGAGGTACACCGTCACCGGTACGCAGAGTGGCCAGCAGACCTCGACAATGCCATTGAGCTGCTGAACATATCACCATAGATGACAAATTTAAACCGAACATTTACGATTGACAAAAATTCCCCTCCCCTCCCTCGCCACCTACCACCGTCCCTCCCCACTTAAACCCCCCCACCGCCCAGACCAAATCCCGTTCAGCGTGGAGATCAGCCAGCTCGACGACCAGAACTACCTGGACAACCGCTTCGTGGAAAACCGCGACGTCATCTTCACGGCCCTGGTGAACGACCCGAGCGGCTACCTGCGCGACAGCATCGCGGAGCTCACCTACACCTGGAACTTCGGCGACGAGAGCGGCTCGCTCATCACGCAGATGCCCACGTGCCGTCACGCGTACCCGGCCGCGGGCAACTACCGCCCGCAGCTGGTGCTGAGCGCGATCATCCCCACCGAGTGCGGCACCCTCAACGCCACCGTCATTCCCGACGAGACCACGCGCACCACCACCACCACCACCACCACGACCACCGCCACCACGACCACCACCACCACCGTCGCCGTCACCACCGCTGCCACCGCGGCCACGACCGCCGCCGCCGGCGCTGCCACCACCCCGTCCGCTCCTGGTGGACCCACCACTCCAGCTGCTGCGTCTGCACGGACGGTCACCACCGAAGGTAAGGAACGATGCGCGGGCGGGCGGGCGGGGAATAGTCGACCATTGGTCAGGGAAGGGGTTCCCGGCCGTCCTGGGTTCACAACGAAGATTTGCCCTCTCGGGCGGGTCACATCGTGGCCAAAGGACGGAATCCGTCTGATTGCGGATTCTGGCATCGCTGGAACACGTGCGATGGCGATGGTATCGATTTGAGACAACTCAACTAATTTTATTTGAGCAGATGATCCCGCTGAGCTATGTCGCTCTTCTTTTTAGAAGGGGACTGGCTGTGACAAATGATAGCCCAACGAAGTGGCTTATCATCACGTGGACATATACAGCAGATGAATGATCTAAACGCGTGTTTATTAATGTGGAGGGACAAACCGGAGGACCCGTATGGAAATCCACGCGACCACGGAGAGAGACACGCAAACTCCAAATATACAGCAGCAGGCGTCAGGGTCGGGATCGAACCTACGACCTCCTGTATACCAGGCGATGTAGTTAACATCTCCTAGCCACCGTGATGATAATGAGAGAGAGACACGCAAACTCCAAATATACAGTAGCGGGCGTCAGGGTCGGGATCGAACCCACGCCCTCCTGTATACCAAGCGAAGAAGTCAACATCTTGAACGGACGTCATCCAGCAGTGAAATGATCATTGACGATGCTGCTGCTGCTGCTGCTGAACAAGCAGATGAACTTGTGACTCATCTGATTGGATGATAAAGCCAGTACCCCAGTATTAACACCGAAACACCGGCACTCCGTGCTACCAATTTGGGGCGCCTAGGAGATGTTCACTGCCTCGCCAGGCATGCAGCAGGTCGTGGTTTCGATCCCGGCCCTGACGACGCCTGCTGCTGTCTATTTGGAGCTTGCCTGTGTCTCTCTCTCTCTACCTGTGCTGGTCAGCATGGATTTGTCGATCGATAGCTCCGACCCCCCCCCCCCTCCCGTGTCTATCCCCTCCGAAACCCTCCACCCCATTTCCCTGGCAGTGCCAGCCACGCCAAACCCGGCCGCCTTGCTGATGCTGACCGCGGCGTCTCAGCTGCCCGCTGAACCCGACGGGCAGACGACGCCGCCACCATCGACGGCGGCTCCGGTCAGGTGAGGCCAAACGACGGCATATCGTGAGAACGAGGGCGGGGGGGGGGTGGCCCTGGGGGCCCCTCCCGGAGAGAAGGGTGTGGTGGAAATTCCACATTCCGAACAAGGAGAGAGGCCTTGCTCCGGTGGGCAAGTCGCAGTTTGACATCGTCGAAGTTAAAGGGAAGAGCGGAAAGCGGGAGGTCCCTTGAACAAGTAAGATGCGGGATGTAATTGCCAGCGAAACGTCGTACTCAAATTTTAAATGATGTTGATTCGCTCTTCAACACACCGGTGGGCTGAAGTAGTGAACTATTTGTCCTTTGTAAACGTGACACTTTTTTTACTGTTTGGCTCGTGTCGGGTGGTGGAGGGTTACGACACATTTATAAATAACGCGATCTAACCCAAAAACCTTTATTATGAATAAGAAGAGGTGTTTTACCCTTTGTGGCGATTAAACAGGAGAGGTGTTAAGATGTTCAAACACGAAAATATGAACCAGTCAAGTGACTGCATTAAGCACACAAGGTGCTTGTGTTCAACATGCAAACGAACTCTGATAGTAAATGGCATCGTCTCTGAAACTGATTGGCCTGCACCTGAGAGAGACGGCCTTCTTTATGGCCACGTCTCACCAATGTCAGAGCAGAGGAGGCCAAAAGGCGAGCAGCACCAGGACAATGCACGTATCAGAGCATTCATAGCTCGGGGGTGATGTTTGTTGACTCTTAATAATAACATCAATGTGCGACGTATCTGCGCTTAACGGGATGTATTATTCTACCGCAATACAAGTAACTCAAGCCGCCAATCCCATCGGTGGTTATAAAAACCGGTGGCAGAATACGCGGTTAAATGAAGTTGAAGGGGCGGGGGGTAAAAGGTGAACAGTACAAGCACAAAGCTCGGGCTGAGCTGGGTTTTTACCCTTTTCTGGCAATAAAACAGTTTTGCGTTAATAAGTTCAACACCACACAAAAAGCAGGAGCAGTGGCAGCGAACGAACCCGAGCTGCCCCTCCCCCCCACCTTCCCCCGCCCTGCCCCCTCTGTCTTCACAGCCAGGAGGAGGCGGTGGTGGTCACCCTCTCAGCCTCGGAGCCGACGGTGGAGGGCAGCAGCAGCAGCGTCGTCCCCGCAGCCACCGTCAGCGATGAGGCCGACGTGGCCACGGCGGCGTCTCCGTCGTCTCCGGCGTCTGCGGCGTCTCCGGCGTCTGCGGCGGCTCCGGCGTCTCCGTCGTCTGCGGCGTCTCCGGCGTCTGCGTCGTCTGCGGCGTCTCCGTCGTCTGCGGCGTCTCCGGCGTCTGCGGCGTCTCCGGCGTCTGCGGCGGCTCCGGCGTCTCCGGCGTCTGCGGCGGCTCCGGCGGCTCCGGCGTCTCCGGCGGCTCCCAGCGAGGCGGCGGTGGCGGCGCTGCGTCTCGTCAAGCGGCAGGCTGTCGCGTGGAGACCCCCGCACTGCCAAGTTCACCGCTACGGCAGCTTCAGCACGCGCATCACCGTAGTCCGTGCGTGCCGCTCGCCGCACCCCGCGGTCACCCGGCGGTCCCCGTGCCCTGCTCGCTCGCGCACGCCGGTGGCGGCGGTCGTGGTCTTAGTTTAACCGCATCAGAGAAGTCGACGAGAAACACCAGGGTAGCGTCTCTCTCTCTCTCTCTCGCTAAGACAACTCGGAGCACGCGTGGTTGTATTGGGGTAGCCGAGTGCAGCAGTCGGCTCATTCCACCAGAGTACGAGTGATACACGCCCCAATGGTTTACACCGCGTCACATTCGCAAATCGGTGGAAGTCCTCAACCGTTCCATTCATCGAGGGAATCTCCACGTCGTCGTCTTCTTCATCTTCCTCCACGCGAATTTTCAGGCGCAGTTGGGAGCGGCCCCCCCCCTCACCCCCACCCCCACCGCTGCCGTCTGGTCAGAGAGGAAGCCAGGGGCCCGTGCCTTCGACTGAGACAAAACACGGCGGCTAAGTTGACGCTGCCCTGTGGCTATCTCCCCTCCCCCCCCCCAGCTGAGATCCAGAGTGTCAAGGTGGTGGCGCTGACCAGCGCTCAAGCTGGCGGTAGCACCCTGCCGGGCCTCGTGAACTTCATGGTTACCTGCGAGGGCAGGTGAGCGATCTAAGGGGATGCCCATAAATGACGTCACGCACCTGGGGGTGGGGGGGTGGGGGGGTCAGACATTTGCGACGATGTGTGACGAGGGGGTCGGAGGTTTGAGAAATGTGACGTCACGTAAAAATGCGCAACTTTAAATAAATATAGATAACTCGTTCTACTTAATTAAATAGACTTTTTAATAAATGTTTTCTCCTACAACATCAGAGTGCAGCGCCACATTAAATACGCACTACAATGACAATAGTTTAAAGCGATTGGAAGCGTTTTTTTTATATTTTTTTGGGGGGTGGGGGCAGAGCTTTGTGACGTCATATTTGAGGGGGGACTTTTTGTGACGCCGTGTGACGATGGGGGGGGGGGGTCAAAAATCGTCCAAAATCGCGTGACGTCATTTATGGACGGCCCCTAACCCGCAGCACCCGCTTCTCCCCCGGTTGTTAGCGCTGCGTTCAACACGCGCGCACACACACACACATCATCATCGTCGATGTATCACACGTGAAATTACATCACTTTTTAATTATGATTATTATTGTTACACGATTTTATTTCGCTCACTCTCTGTCGTCAAATCTTGCAACTCAATGTTAACCCACTTCCCAATGTGGTATCGACTGCAAACTTGGTATACGTATGTCATACTGATGACGACACTTGTATTCTATCATTAAAAACAAAAAAAAAATTAACCATATATTTTTTATGTTATGTTTCGCCTTGGGTCTAATTGTTCACGCTCAACTCACTTTGGCTGTAAATCACCACGGTCCCCTGACGTTATGGCAAGCCTCGTTTAAAAAAAAAACTAAGACAAAGATCCCCCGTGTAGCCTTCACAGACTGTACGGGCAAGTGCTGTTAGCGAGCAGCACCCTATGAAGGCCGGCACGGCACACGAGGGGGTGGGTGGCCAGCGACCACGCCCGGCCGCCTTTGTCTCCCCAGTGGTGTGAAAAATCCTAACCCTAAGAAATCTACCCCCCCGGGGGAAGCCTTTACGTTCGTCATTGCGTGTGCATGAACCCCTCTTCCCCTACTCCCGAGTTCACTCCCGCTCTCATCCTTACATTATTCACGCGGAGCCACCGTTAGTGGACGTGCACGCTCCACACGTTTGTTTCTAGACGACGGACAACCTTATTGTTGGCGTTTCGTCAGAGCCGTGTTAGCCTGCGGGACTTCGTGGGAGTTTGCTGCATCTCTAAGGGACCGCCCATAAATGACGTCACGCGATTTTGGACGATTTTTGACCCCCCCACCTACCCACCCACTCGTCACACGGGCGTCACAAAAAGTCAGACCCCCCCCTCAAATATGACGTCACAAAGCTCTGCCCCCCCCCCCCAAAAAAAAACCAATATTTCCATTTTGAAAGAAAAAAACACGCTTCAAATCGCTTTAAACTATTGTCATTGTACTTTGGTTCTTTCGGTAAAGACTTTACCGAAAGAACCAAAGAAGATGAATCCTTGCAGTCACGAAAGCTTTAAATCGAAATATTGTCATCGTAGTGCGTATTTAATGCGGCGCTGCACTCTGATGTTGTAGGAGAAAACATTTATTAAAAAAGTCTATCTAATTAAGTAGTAGAACGTGTTGTCTATATTTACTTAAAGTTGCGCATTTTTACGTGACGTCACATTTCTCAAACCTCCCCCCCGCTCCTCTCCTGCCCCTCGTCACGCATCGTCACAAATGTCTGACCACCCCCCCCCCCCCACACACACAGCCCCGTAGGTGCGTGACGTCATTTATGGACGGCGCACCGAGTAAAACATTCCCATTCTGACTTTCCCCGTTGCCCCATCCCCCCTCCCCCCCCCCACACCGCGCAGCCTGCCCACGCAGGTGTGCACGGTGGTGTCCGACGCGGCGTGCGTCAGGGCGCAGAGCTCCGCGTGCCGCAACGTGAGCGGTGCCGCCGGGGGCGGCTGCGAGGTCGCCGTGCAGGAGAGCTTCAACGCGAGCGGCACCTACTGCCTCAACGTGACGCTCTCGGACGACGTCAGCCTCGCCGTGTCCAGCACGCAGGTCACCGTCGGCCTAGGTGCGTGAGCACGGCGACCGCCCCTTTCGCCGCCCGTCCACGTCTCGCTTACGGATTTAAAAAAAATATATATATTTTTCCCACTGGCACAACCGAACCGTGCCAGGGCCGTGCCGTGCCGTGCCGGCGTTCGTTTTTTTTCCCCCCACCGTGCCGTGCCGCCGACGCGTCGTGCGCGGTGAACCTGACAGGAATAGCCGGGCCCCCCGGTGTCTGTCCTGCAATGGATCCGGGGCCGTACGACCGCTTATTCACACGGTACACACAGAACACACGCAGTACACACACGGTACACACAGAACACACGCAGTACACACACGGTACACACAGAACACACGCAGTACACACACACACAACACAAACAGTACACACACAGAACACACACAGAACACCCAGAACACACACTTACAACACAAACAGTACACACAGAGAAAAAAACAACACAGTACACACAGAGAACACACACAGTACACGCACAGTACACACACAGTACACACAGAACATACAGTACGCAAACAATACACACAGCACACACAGAACATACAGCACATACCACACACAGAACATACAGTACACACACAGAACACAGTACACACACAGAACACATAGTCCACAGACAGGACATACACAGTACACATACAGCACACACACAGAACACACACTACACACGTAGAACACAATGTTGTCACATGTCCCACCACGTAGCCGCCGCATATACAGCGGGGAAAATCGCTCAAACTGGGGCCGCCATCATCCAGCAGTGGATTAACGGTGGGGGGGGGGTAGGGGCGGTTACACATACGGCGTTGTTGCATGTTGACTTTTTTTTTACTTTGCTGGTTCTCACGCCCGCAGATGGATCTGGCTCATCTTCGGCCCTGAAGTCGGCCATCGTTGCCGGCGTCTTTCTGGCCATCGCCATCGCCGGAGCTGCCGTCTACGTTAATCGGTGAGTTTGCGGCCCCATCGGCGCAAGAAAAATACGGCGACGACGTTCAGAATGAAACGGCTGACTTTGCAAAACGTCCAATTGACGTTCGGTAGACGTCCAGTTGTCAGAAACGTCCAATTGGCGTTCGGTAGACGTCCAGTTGTCATAAACGAGCAATTGAGGTTTGGTAGACGTCCAGTTGTCATACACGTCCAATTGACGTCCGGTAGTTGTCCAATTGTCAGGTGACTCAGAGGACGAACGCTCACGTCACGTCTCAGCCACCCCAGCGGTGAGATGTTAACTACCTCGCCTGGTATGCAGGAGGTTGTGGGTTCGATCCCAAACCCCAACGCCTCCCCGTGGTCGCGCGGATTTTTCTCCGGGGTCCTCCGGTTTTCCTCTTCCAACATTTAAAATCGACATCGCTCGTTTAGTCTTTGGCTACTGCAGTATAGCCGTGTAGAGTTCCAGATGCAAATCGCGGATAGCAAATTTGTGAATAGCGAGTGAATACCGTACGCACACAACAAAACAACTTTGCGTTAAATATCGGTGTCTTTCAGAATCAGAACAAGACTCTTTGTTTATTCTGGAGAAATCCGATGAGCTATGAAGCTCTTATTCACAGATGCCCAGTAAGGGGCACGGGGTCAGAAAGTTACAACAACAAAAAATACAAAAACACAATAGGGGTGCATGGTGTACTAAAGGAAGGCAAATCAATACAAATGAATATGTTAAATCGATAAAGTGCAGGGATTCCTCTACTTACGAACGTTCAACTTACAAACTTTTAGAGATGCGAACAAACCCAGTTCGGTGCGTCCAGTTGCCTGTTCGGACCGATAATCATTAAGTTCAACCGCCGTGCAATTGATGGCGGTGGTGGCATCAACATCTGCAGAACGTGAAGAATCGTTGGCATCTACATCTGCAGAACATGAAGAACCAGTGGCATCTACATCTGCAGAACATGAAGAAACGTTGGCATCTACATCTGCAAAACATGAAGAATCGTTGGCATCTACATATGCAGAACATGAAGAACCAGTGGCATCTACATCTGCAGAACATGAAGAACCAGTGGCATCTACATCTGCAGAACATGAAGAACCAGTTGCATCTACATCTGAAGAACATAAAGAACCAGCAGCATCTATATCTGCAGAGCATGAAGAACCAGTGGCATCTACATCTGCAGAACATGAAGAACCAGTGACATCTACATCTGCAGAACATGAAGAACCAATGGCATCTACATCTGCAGAACATGAAGAACCAGTGGCATCTACGTCTACAGGAGATTATAAAACTTTTTAAGCCATTCCCCGTGTTTAGTGTACACGCCGTACACCATATTTGGAATCGGCAGGATTAAAGTTAGACTCACGAACAAATCGACTTACGAACACAGACCTCTGGAACTAACTCGTTCGTAAGCACAGGAGTCCCTGTAGATAAGTTTCCATATAGTTCGGATTGCTTCCAGCTGTTACGTGCTCAAAATAATATTTCATCGCTCTCAAAAAAACACAACAGAGGGCAGGGGAGACCCCACCACCGCAACATTGCGGTGGTGGGCGGGCCGTGAGGGCAGATCTTGGTGGAGGTGGCGTGTTGCAACCCCCCCATCAGCTGCAGGGTCTGACGTGAGGTCCGGTATCTGTGGGCGAGGTGTGGTTTGCAATCACAACGTTGGCCATGTACATTAACCCCCCCCCGCCCTCCCCGCCTCTGGACATCGCATCCCGAATGGCTCACAAGTGACGACGTCACATTTATCCCCCTCTGTATATTTGAGACCAAAACAGGAGAGGGATTTCTCCACAACTCCGTGGCTGTCGCCTGACGATGCTGCTTGTTGTGATTACCAGCGAAACATCGGGCTACTCGAATTGCAAAAGTTGTAGTGGGTTTACTCTCCAACACACAAACAGTGTGCTGAACTAGTAATGGATTGGCACGTTTTGTGGATGGTGGCGGGTTTAATGACATTTATATTTACGCAATCTATCCCAAAAACCTCTTTTATGGAGTATAAAAAAATAAAATATTTCGCAATAATGATTTATTTCGCAACCCCCGGTCAGAAAATCTTGCGGGGTGGTGGTGCGTCAAAATCAGTTCGCGTGATGTCGAAGCAGTCGAACGGTTATATGAACAGCTGAACACGTTGCCGTATAGCAGCACCCAACCCTGACGATTGGCTGGCTCCGTGTTCCAAAGGCAATATTTGACTCCTCGTACCCTACCCAGACTCGGTCGGACGGTCCCTCGATTAGTTTCCGAAATAATTCCTTGGCCGACGGTGGCATCAAAAGATCACGACCCGTGGTGGTGTCACCGCCGCACGTTCGAATGGGAGAGGCGCCGCTGAATGTCTGAGTGCAACTTCTGACGGAGAGGCCTGTAGCTCACTCAAGGGGTCAACAGCAAGCGACATCATCAGACTTTAATGAGGACCGCTGCGTTAGGCTGCACCGGTGCACCGCCAATGTGTCTCAATGCCATTCTCTCACTCTCTCAGCTGACCGCCACGGCACACAGACAGATGACGGAAAGCAATATTGACCTCACAAATGCGAATTATCGAGCTGACCTTTGAACAAACGCCGCAATCTTGCAGTTTAAAAGTAATAATCACCCAGGGGCTCGTGGCTTCGTCCGGTTGGTTGAATTTCCTCCCAGACCTCCAGCGATGGCAGTTGTCGATTGTGTCCCCTTGCATCCTGAGGCACACACCCCGCACTCCCCACTTCTCTATCAGTCGTCCCCCTTTTTATACAACAGTTGGGAACTGGTTCATTCCTGATTGGAGTGGCTCAATATTGTTTGGAGCAGTTCAATCCTGTTTGGGGTGGTTCAATTCTGTTTGGGGTGGTTCAGTTCTGTTTGGGGTAGCTCAGACTTGTTTGGAACGGTTAAATTCTGTTTGGGGCGGTTCAATCCTGTTTGGGGCGGTTCAATTCCCTTTGGAGTGGCTCAATCCTGTTTGGGGCAGCTCAAACCTGGTTGGAACGGTTCAATCCTGTTTGGGGCGGCTCACCCAATCCCACCGCAGTACAGTATCAACGTCCCCAGGTGTTACGTTGTTGTCCTTCCCCCGCCGCACCTCCGACTACCACAGTTGGCTACGTACGGTGTGAAAGAAGTTCAACATACGTACATAAAAGCTGGACGTAACGTGTCGTGCACAATTTCGGCGTCCGGGCTCGATTTGAACCGTTGCAGTTTCAGTTTCGTTCGTGGAATAACGCAAAGCGATTGGTGTGTTTGATTGAACTTATTTCGCACCGTACATAGTCAACCGTGCTAATCGGAGGTGTGGGGAGGACACACAAACTAAACACAAAAACGCAGTTCTAAAGAAATGTTTTCAATCTAGATTATTTAAAAGTGCATAGCTCCAGTGGCTTCCTAATATTGGTAGGAAGAGATCCATAGAGACCCACAGAGGTCCAGAAACTTGTATAGAACCGTACATACACCGCACCTCCGTTGGCACGGTTGGCTACGTACGGTGCGAAAGAACTTCAATGTTTCTTCCCCCCCCCCGCCACCCACCCACAGGCGATTCAAAGAATACTCGCCCGTCTACCAGCACGTGGCGGAGAACGGAGCGGCTGCCGGCGGATCGTGGGCCTCTTACGCCGGGATGCGGAGGCTCCTGGGCCTGGGCAGAAACGAAGAGGCCAGCCCGCTGCTCGCGACAACGGCGGCCACTGGGCGCATCGTCTGAGCCGAGCCATCTCTGGCAAGGCGGCCGGTCACCAGGCGGCCTACGGCTGTCAGTCGCCTGTGAGCTGCAAGTCAACCCTCGATAATATACACGTTACAGGGACGCCTGTACTTACGAACGAGTTAAGTTCCAGAGGTACTGTTCGTAAGTCGATTTGTTCGTACGTCGATTTGTTCGTGAGTTCAACTTTACTACTGTCGATTCCAGACACGTTGTACGGCGTGTACACTAAACACGGGTAATGGCTTTAAAAGTTGTGTAATCTCCTGTAGATGTAGATGCCACTGGTCCTTCACGTTCTGCAGATGTAGATGCCACCACTGCCATCTATTGCGCGGCGGTTGAGCTTACGACTCTCGGGTCCGGACAGGCAACTGGACATACGGACCAGGTTTGTTCGTATCTCTGAAAGTTCTTAAGTCGAATGTTCGTGAGTAGAGGCGTCCCTGTACACTAAAAACAATTGACCATAACAAAAAAAATAGACGAAGGTTTTAAGGAAATGATGGGGTGGGGGTGGTAGTTGGTTTGTGTTGATTTGGCACTCTGAAATGCATTGGAACAAATGAAACTACCCTTGTGTCGTCATGTGTGTCGTCACGTGTGTGCGACACATTGGCAGCTGCCCACAACCATGGGGGTGGGGGGGGGGGGGGTACCCCTATGCAAAAAAAAAATGAACGACACGACAGCTGCCGGGGCATTGGGATGATGGAGATGAGATGCGATGTTGAGGTGCTCTGAGACACTGGAGCGTTTACCCAATGAACACGCAAATCCTCGTCTCGGCCGTCCTGACGGTCCTGCTGCAGTCTGGCCACGGCCCCCCCCCACCCCCCCTAGTGGCAGCTGTCCCTGTGTGGCACCGCGGCGAAACGTCGCAGCGAGGCGCGACTGTGGGGCATGTGTCTGGCCAGCGTTTTTTTGCTTCTTCTTTTTCGCAATTTAAGTAATCCGTGAGTGATTCGATAAATTTAGGCGATAAAAAAAAACAAATTCATTTTTTTTACATACTCTTTGGTTCTTTCGGTTAACTCACGACGTTTTGATCGCAACACAAGCGGTCGTCATCAGGCATAGGAGTCAGCCTCTAAAGGCAAACTGTTTTTAAGGGTTTGGGGATGGGCGTAGCCCAAGTGCACCAACAGCACCAGGAGCACGGGCGGTGCACGAGTGTCAATGCAGCAACAATGCCAATGAAGCAGCAATCCCAATGCAGCAACAATGACAAATGCTGGGGATGCGGAGGGAAATTAACTTGTACCCGGTAGATATGATGGAACAACGCCCATCCCCAGACCGTTATAAACAGTTTGCCTTTAGAAGCCGACTCCTTTGCCTGATGACGACCGCTTGTGTTGCGATCGAAACGTCGTGATTTGTTTAATTCTATTTCTACCTACGCGACTATACCAAAGGAACCAAAGAGGATGGATTCCTGCAGTCACGAAAGCTTCAAATCAAGATTGTTCATTGGTTTACCTGACGCAGAGTGGCGGCCGTCGCCGTATCTCGCCCATCGTACCAACGTGGGCAGACCACTGACGTCTGTTTGTGGGGGGCCTTAGCCATAGCCTGCCCCCCCCCCTCCCCCCCACACCAACCTCACCGCGCACGGTAATTTAACGGTGCTTTAGGACCATTGGCTGTGCGTGCGATAATCCGATCGAGTGTTTCCACAACAACCAGCCACCGTCAGCACCAATAACCACCACCAACCAACACAGACCAGTGAAAGAGATGTGGTCAAACAACAACCACAACGCGGGGAGAGGCTCTCTCATCCAGCAGCGGCATAGCCCGCGGCCTGTAAATTATTATCGACCGTTGTGTTTATCGTACGCAGTGGCCTGAGCCTGCAATTGCGGGGCTAAATTCCTCTAATATTTTTGTTCATTCTCATCGTCCGTGGAGCGGTGGAGGTGAATGTATCCGATGTTAGTTGGCGCATTTATGACAACCGAGAGAGACAATCTGATCAGCTTTGGGACATTCCCCGTAGCTGAACATTTGCTTTTACCCCCCCCCCCACTTCATTTAACCGCGTATTCTGCCACCGGTTCTTATAACCACCGATGGGATTGGTGGCTTGAGTTACTTATATTGTAGGAGAATAATATATCCAATTTAGCACAGATACGTAGCACATTGATGTGCAATGTCCTTAATGGTTACCAAAAATCACCCCGAGCTAATAAATCCTCTGATACCTGGTACGGTTCGCCGTTTGGCCTTTTCTGGTCTGAAACTCGCGAGACGAGGCCACAAAGAAGGCTGCCGTCTCTCTGGCGTATGCCAGTCAGTTTCAAAGACAATGCAAATATTATTATCAGAGCATGTTTGTTTGAATGTTCACCACAAGTAGCGTGTGTGGTTAATGCAGTAATTTGATTCCTTGCAAAAGGTATCCATTCGGTGTTTGAACATCTTCACACAACTCCTGTTCTATTGCCAGAAAGGGTAAAAAAAAACCTTTTCTTATTTTTCATGCTTATTTAGAGTTAAGTCACTCAAGCCCGTGACCAGACTTGCAACCGAGAGAGGTTCTCCGGCTGGGCTCCATCTCAGTTGTTGAAACGGTGGGTTGCGCCTCTCCTGAAATCAACGACCGCCACCTCCGTCCCACCGGCACAATTGTCGCCGCTCGGGCAAAGTCACTTGCGCGGCGGGGCAGAGTGTGGGGTAGCTCCCGCGACACGCATTTTTTCTTTTTTTGCGCCGACGTCTTGCCGGCGTGGACGAGTAGGCCAAGTGCCCTCTTCGTGTGCGAGGGCCCCTTTCTGGCAGCAGGTTGTGCGGGCAGGGCAAACAGTTGCAGGGCCGCACCTTTGACTTTTAAATGCATTGTACTGCCAATTGGCTGATTTTGGCCTAAAAGCGCTGTTAGGTGTAGTGTGAGCCGGCCTGAGTTGAGTGTTTTGTACCCACATGCATTCAGTATTTTGGCCATAAAATGGTGCTTTTTTTGACCTGTGCCAACGGCGTAGCTTGTTTACCGAACGTAACAATAAAATGACATCGGGACAATGTTCATTTCCGCGCCGATTTCACCTTCTGACTGTGCATGTGCGTGCGTGAAACGGAAATGGGAGAGTCACGTTTGAAAGAAAGCGGATCAGGCTGCCCATTAATTATTGATCACTTAAAGAATATTGTACATTCAATTTTCGTGCATTTTTTAAAAGTGAGAATGTAACTTTATTTAAATGAACCAGGTGAATTTAACTTAAAAGTGACTTTCAAGGGAAGTTATTAAACAGGGTCAAGGTGTGTGTGAATGAGCCCAGATCTGTATAACTTTATTGACACTGGGCATCTTAAAATCTGGTAAGTACGGTGCAAGAGTCTCCGGCAAGTGACTGATATTGCATTTACCAATCTCCAACACGGTAACACTCCTGCCCAACACCAAAACCTGCCTGGGTTCAATACCCAACTTGGGAATTCTGTCTGGTTCTCTCCCTCCCCCTCTTCTGCATGGGCTTCTTCTTTTGGGGTTTCCCCATGTCCTCCCATAGCTAAAAAAAAAACAACGCAACTGATATTGGCCAAAACATCCCAATGATGAACAATTACAGGACAGTGTGCTCTCCTATAACGTGGCGGTAGTTGTTGCGTTCCTGAAGAACACGTGATAATAAAGAATATATACTTGGGTAAAGCACAGGCCGCGTTAGCACGTGAGATGCGTACGCAGGCCGAACAAAGACCGACGCGCGTGGTGGGTAACGCCTCGAAGCATCCAGCAGCATCCCAACGCCTTGTGCGATGACGCTGAAGCAGCCGTATGTACGACCGCTTATTCCGACTCGCGCTGCGCCGTAGTTCCGTTCGTTCGATCGCGTTGTATGTCCAATTAGCATCCGCGCTATTAAAACAAGACGTGTTTCCTTTATAATTTTGATCGCCGTCATGTCCAATTCGCGTTACGAAAGCAACACGCGGCGTTACAGGAGAGCATGCTGTACCTGCAAGTTACTCGACTGAAATTGAGTGCAGGATAACACGGCAGGAAGCTCTTGCAAAGAGTCTTCGATGCGGCCCTGCGCGAGTCAACATAAATAAAATAAGAGAATTCGATGCAAAAGTGTACTGCTGCCACCTCTGCACACGTCCAGGTCGGCTCCCACCTGTATTGAATGAAAGCAAGGTGACACATTGGGGACCCACAGCCTTCGATGATAATCATTTCTGAAGTCTCAACTCATACAGTGGAGGAAATTATACATTACAATGGCATTGTCTGAATTAAAACTAAACTATTTTTTTTTATTGTTACCAGGTAAGGCCCACTGAGCTATGTAGCTTTTTGTCAAAAGCGACCTGGCCACCACACACGATCGCTCAACCAAGTGGCTTAGCGTCGTGTGGAAATTCACAGCTGCCAAAGACTCTGAACGCGCGACGTTGATTCTAAATGTGGAGCAAAATCCACGCGGCCATGGGGAGAGAGAGACAAGCAAACTCCAAATATACAGCAGCAGGCGTCAGGGTAGGGATCGAACTCACAACCTCCTGCATACCAGGCGAGGTAGTTAACATCTCGCCACTGCGGTACCCTATTGACCCACCACAGAGTGGTAGGAATTGTATTAATTGTGAAGAAATTATAAGACTGTCAAAGCCTCCCAAACAAGATTTGAATGAACATCTTCCCAAACGTAAATGTGCGCTCTCTAGAAAGTTGCAACAGGGTCCGAGTATGAATTAAGCCCTCCAATTTATTTTCACCTTTTTTTTGTTTTAATGGGCACTCCTCCTCTATAGGACCACAGAACTTGGGCAATAGTTGGGACCCGGGGTTCTGGGAGATGATTGAATGAACTGGCATCCCCGGTTGTAAATCTGCATGTTTTGGTGCTCTATACAATTTATACTTTTGTTGAGAAGTTCCTGACGACTCGGAGACGAAGTTAAGGGCTTGCGCCAGTAGTTTATTAAGGGCTATCGCCAATAACACGGGGGATACATTTCCCCACAAGGGTAGAGGGCCCTAGGCTCAGTTCTATCCGTTCCCTCCACAGCAGGCTGCCCCGTGCTGCCTCCTCTGCACCGGCCGTGGGTTCAGCCAACAACGGCCGACCGAGGAGCGCGGCCACACCTCGCTCCTTACGCTGCGCTAACACAGATCCCTATCCCCTTGCCCCCGGCCCTCCATTCCACCCTGCTCAGTCCCTTGGTCTCCAGCTACGACCCCCCTTGCGGGACATGACGTCATCCCGCCCGCAGGAGCGCATGACGCCACCTCCCGTGACGTCATCACCCCTGGAGGCGAGTGTGACGTCATGTCCGCAACTAGTCCTCTACACTTTCAACGAATACGGAAGCGCACAAAGCCAGGAGTAGACCATCAAAACAACGCGACGTCACGTTTCAATGGCTTTATTATGAATTTGAATGTACATGGGTAAAATGTCAAACGAAGAGCTCGTTGTGACTTGCAAGCGGACAGTTTAGCGATAAGCTCTGCGCGCTGTGGAGGGAGGAGCCCTTCCACCATATGCACGTGTGCTTCGAGATTTAAAACGTTCGGCTAAAAACAAACCAACTCAAACTTCGTTAAAAACGTACGCAACGGTGCGTATCACACACACACGCACACACCTGGGTTAAAGCACGCTGCGTTCACCGCACCATCGTAAAAAAACCATCGCGGCGATTTCAAAGAATCGCGAGTGGGGTTTTTTGACCTACGGGTCAAAGCGTCGCAGAGCGCACGTTCTCGCGTCCGCGATTCCAACTGGCGCAATTCAATTGTCGAAATGTATTTATTGTTTGCTGTTAACGAAAAGACAGCTGGGGCCACCGGACCGCCGTGACATAACGTATCCAGCGTGCATCGCCCGGCAGATGCGGTCACAGCCACTGCACGAGTGGGGGAATCGGGGTTGCAACTTCGACTCTCATGAACTTCTTTCGCCCGCTCCGTGCGTAGCCAACCCGTGCTAAGCGTCATCAATTAATGATGATCACGGTGACGGCGAAGCTTGGAAGGCCAAATGGAGTTCGCAAGGAAGTCGCAAACCACAAACGCCTCCACGGCATGAGAGACGCGATGATGCAGAAGATCCCATTGGCTTCCATCTCCACCCGTGAAGCTTCTTGGCCAAAATCCCTGAACCACATCATCCACTGCAGAGACCATGGTAGCAGCAACAGCAGCAGCTGAGGGTAATACAGATCATTAATGATGATGATGATGAACAAATGGGAATTTAAAAACCCTCCGGGCAGTGTGCGGAGATCGCGGTCACCATCCTTAACAAAATCGTGGAACATCGAACACACATTCAATGCCCAGCAGCGACGATTCACCACCATCCACTACTCCTCACGCAATCATCTGGCTCATCAACCAGCTCGGTGTAACGTCACAGCTGCTGCTCTACATGAACATCAGCCACGTGAAGAGGACAGAGACCCATAGGCTCACATACACATACTCGCAGACAGAGATCTATAGACTCGCATAGAGACTTACAGACTCTCATATAGATCTATAGACTGACACGGAGACCCACAAACTCGCATAGAGATCTTCTATATGAAGGAGGCATCATCATCGGAGCAGCGACGATATACCACTCCGCCGCTAATGTGTGACGCAATAATTTGTCTCACGGAACTGCCTTCATCTAAAACAGGGGTGGGAAACGTCCGGTCCGCGGGCCGTATGAGGCCCCGCGACATCATTTTGGTCTCTGGCCCTGCCAAGGCAACCGCAGGCGGGACTCGAAATTCAACAAATCTAGGGAGCAAACCTGGCAAAGCAGTTGCGAGTAGCAGCAACATCATCAATACCAGCTGACATCATCACCACGCCTCACCAAAGAGAAGCAGTTCCAGCCCATCGCATTAGTGGGCGAGTTAATTTAATGTCTGACCGAATATGACGCGCTAATTTTTAAGTTGATCATTTTGTATGGCCCGCGAACGATGTTATAAAAATATCCAAATGGCCCTTGGCAGAAAAAAGGTTCCCCCACCCCTGATCTAAAATAACAGCTGCTGCTCGCTGCATCAACATCGTCAGCCGTACGCGCAAAAAAAATTAAGTGGGGGGAAAAAAAAATCAAGGAATCGCCGACCTGCAAGCCTTGGCGAGGTACGGCCCCCCCATGACCCACGTCGCCACTTATAAAGAGGATTTCCATTAAAAAGGTAACAAAACAAGCTGCGGGTTCAATACGCCTGTGTTTTGTACGAGCGAGGGCATTTAATAGATGTGCTGTATTTTACAGGGGTCGAATAGGCGTGCCAAACGAGCATTCCGCGCGCCACCTTACGTGGCCGAGACTTCGGCGAGCGTTTTGTGGAAGTCGGCGCCATCGAGTCGCTGATCCCCCCCCCCCCCACCCCCTCTCCCGCACTGCCTGGCGACAAGTCACGGGGCAGTCGTCACGGGCGACGAAGTCGCAGCTGACCCGTGAACCGTCGGGGGCTATGTACATCATCGAATTAGCGGAGCTGAGGAGCCCCCTCGCGAGCGACATTCGCAGAGCTTGGCACTTTCACGATTCCATTCAACATTTGTATATTGCGTGTCTGTGCGCGCGGTGAACTTCGTCCAGTCGCTCGCACATCGCAACAGGTGACCTCACACCACACACCCCACCCCCCCCCCCCCCCCGACTACTCCTCGGTTCGGGAATTGAATAAATTATCAGGCGTGGTTCCAAACTAATTGTTACCAGGTAAGGGACCACTCAGCTGCGTAGCTCTATTTCAGAAGCGACGCTGGCCATCGCAAAGGGATAGATCAACGAAAGCGGGCCTATCATCATGTGGAAATGTATAGCTGGACAAATAAATCTATGAGCGTGACGCCGATTCGAAACGTGGAGGGAAAAACCGGAGGACCTGGGGGAAAATCCACGCGACCACGGGGAGAGAGAGAGACACGCAAACTCCAAATATACAGCAGCAGGGGTCAGGGTCGGGATCCTGTCTACCAGGCGAGGGGGGCGGCTGAGACTTGACGTTTCTGATCATTGGACATCTGCCGAACGTCAATTGGACTTTTTCAAACTTCAGGCGGTTCATTCTGAACGGGAGATGTCGATTAAAGGCCCCGGGTTTTTGCGTCTTCACAACGGGTCAATATTCTTTAAAAATGCACCATGTCAAACAAAACTGTCAGTAAGTTGTTGGAGTTCAACGTACGTGATGAGGCCACACTCATGACGTGCGCTCCCCGTGACCTGTGTCCGCCTTTGTCTCACCTTTATTACTCATTTCCACGATTGTTCACCACAATTTCGAAATTTGAATTCATCGGGCCGATGAACCATGAGGGAAGGGCCCCACACGTGAAATGTCAGCGATCATGTTCTATCGCGGCATGCCGCTTTAAATTGGAAGCGTTCAGAGAATTTGGCCGCTACTTTAAATGTCCAACACGGTGGCTAGGAGATGTTAACTACCTCGCCTGGTATACAGGAGGTCGTGGGTTCGATCCCGATCCTGACGATTGTATATATGTCGATTTTTCTCTGGGGTCCTCCAGTTTTTCCCTTCCAACATTAAGCATCAACAACGCGCGTTTAAGAGTATTTGGCTGCTTATAAATTTCCACGCCACTTCGTTGGGCTTTCATTTGCGATATTCAGGTCGCAAATGAAAGCTGAACCATCTGCGAAAAAAGAAAAAGCTTCAAGAGTTCATCGTCGGCTTTCTTCAGGACAATAATTTTAAATAAAAGATTGTGATCATCTCACGCCACGGCACAAGAACCGCCTGGTTAAAAAATAAAAATACCTGCAGACTACGTGGCATAGTCGCTTGTCTTGTGTGTTGCAGACACGAGACACAATTTGCTGGTGGATCCACAAGTAAAACTATAGAAAAGCTGGGGGTGCGCTTTTTAATCAGGAGTCGCGCGGCCAATTCTCACACCGAGACCCAGGACACACTCCGTGGCCTGACGCGAATGTCACGAGAACGCCGTGCCGCGTGTCAAATAAAACGCCGTCCTCCCTCTTCACCCCCACTACCCCCCACCAAGACCACCCCTCCCCTCTCCCCTCTCCCCACCCCCCGTATAGCCTAAACAGACTCATGGGGCAAGTGCTGTTAGCGTGTAGCACCCAAGAAGCCCGGCATGGCACACGAAGGGAGTGCCCAGCACCATGCCAGGCCTTTTCACCTCCCGAGCGGCGATGTTGACTGCACACCGCGCCAAGGTAGTCATTTGAGGCCGAGTCGACCTAGGTGGAGGCCCAGAACCAGTTCAGACAATCGTCACCGGTGGGACGTTGGTGGCCGTGAGAGCGGGAATCGAACTCGGGTCGCTTGGGTTTGAGGCGCAGCGTGCTAACCAACTACAGAACCCCCCACCCCCCCCCCCCCCCATTCCCCCACCGCACACGCACACGGTAACACCGTGCGGCGTGGTTAACGCAGTAAAAAAATGTTTCTTCCGTACGGCGTGCACGCCACACGGCCGGGGACGTCGTAAACACGAGACCAACGACCGCCGAAGAAACGTCCCAAAAGAGGATTTAAAAAAAAAAAGAACGACGCACCACTGGACGCCAAAAACACGCGGCCGGCGACCGACCGGTGGCGGCCGCGGCGATGGCGGCGGCAGTGGCGGTGGGTCAGCGCAACCGGCGGGAAAATCAGTTCTTGCCGTCGGCGTCCTCGTCCCCGGCCGTGTAAATACTTTGGTTCCGCCGCTTGATCTTTTTCACGCCGCTCGCACCCTCGGCGGCGGCGGCGGCAGCCGCCGTCGGCGCTTCGGCCTGCTCGGGCGTCCGCTTGCACGACGAGGTCTGGCTGTCGGCCGGGGAGGTCGTGGGGGTCACGTCCCCCTGGGTGCCCTGCTGCTTCGTCTCCGCCGCAGCCTCATCTTTGTTGTCCCCTTTTTTTGAGATGAGAGGATGGCAGCGGGGGGGGGGGGGGAGTGGGGGGGGGGCAACGCACATGGAGTGTTTCAGGCTACACTATTATACTCCACTATACACTAGACTATACACTACACCACTATACACTACACCACTATACACTACTATACACTACACTACTATACACTACACCACTATACACTACACCACTATACACTACACCACTATACTCTACACCACTATACTCTACACCACTATACACTACACCACTATACTCTACACCACTATACTCTACACCACTATACTCTACACCACTACACTCTACACTACACATTGGGCTCTATTGATGCCCGTCGTTAAGCGATTAGTCGTTAACAGGGGTGGTCGTTAAGAGGAGGGTTCTACTGTTAATTTTAACAGAGGACCCCAGAGCTTGGGCAACTCTTGAAGTGCCGGCTCTCCGCCCGGCTGGCTTTCCTTGCTCGTCCGTGGGCTCCCTACAGCGATGTGTACGATGCCAAACGACGCTTTATGATGCCGTCTTATCGTTCTGTTCGCGCTCCTCCGAGTGAGACCTCTTGGCTCCCTCATATATTCTGAATACAGCTACTTTAATTAAAATTCATAACCATGAGATCCCAATGTCACATCACCTCCGTCCAAATGCATCTGCCGTCTCTCTTGCACCTCGAGCTTTATTTGCTTATTTAATGCTCTCAGTTTGAGAGTCAATCTCAACGCAAAACACCTGGGGCGAACGCCCTCGTCCACACGAGTCCCAGGGACACCGCTCGGTGTAGGATCCACCTCGTGGGCCACGCACGCTCGCGCGATCCACCAACCCCCGGGTCCCCAAAACGTCGGAGCGCAGGCCCCCCGCAGCGTCGGCACGCGCGGCCCAACGTGACGCGCCGGACAAGTTTGGGGGGCCTCGCCTCCAAAGACGACGCAATCCCCCGGCGGGGCTCACCGTCTTCCCCGGGGTTCCTCGAACCGCCGCCGTCACCGTCACTGTGGCCGTGATGGACTCGCGCGCGACAGTCATCCTCCTCCTTCTCCTTCTCCTCCTCGTTGTCGTCGTCCTCCTCGTCGTCTTCATCGTCGTCGTCGTCGTCGAGCGGAATCTCGTCGGGGTTCACCGATGAGGAGGAGAGGCCGGACGTGTCCGTCGAGTATTCACTCGGCGGGTCCGGGGAGAAGGCGGCGTCCTCTTGGCGCCACGAAGTGCTGGGCCTAGGGATGGCAATTCCCACGTGAAGGGTGTCAGCAAAGCGCCTCTTGATTGACGACCAAACAGTCGCCGCACGAGAGCCGGAAGAAAAATCCACGCGGCCATGGGCTGAGAGATGGAACGCGCGAACCTCATGGAAATACACAACGGGCTTCGTCAGAGGTCGGGATCGAACCCACGATCCTCTAAATGTGGAGGGAAAAAACAAAAACGAAGGACTGGGAGAAAAGTCCACGTGACCACGGGGAGAGAGAGAGACACGCAAACCTCGAGCAAATACACAACGGGCGTCGTCAGGGGTCGGGATCGAACCCACGGCCTCCTGTGCGCCAGGCTCGGTAGTCGACACCTCGCGAGCGCGGCACCCAAACAGCACGGCGCCGGGGCGGGCTGGAGGGGGCAGTCGGTTTTGTCCGTCCCACCCGTGGCGCGCAGTGCCTCTCACCGCTTGGGCGTGCTGCTGAAGGGGCTGCCCTCGTCCCCGCCGCCGGCGCCCACCATCGCGTAAGGGTCGACAAGGCCCAGGCGGCCGCACAGCTCCGTGGTCTGCGGGTTGGGGCTGTGGGCGGCCTCGCGGCCGTTGTCGGGCCGCTGCGGGTCGTAGGCCGGCACGGTCGGCAGGAAGTTCTCGGCGACCCGAAGGCCGTCGCCGAGACTCTCCGCCAACATCCTCACCTCCTCCTCCGACACGCTGTAGTCCCAGCTGGCGCCGCGGTGGCGACGACGGCGGCAGCGGGGAGGATAGAGAATGGAAGCGTGCGTTTTTGCTATGGTAGGTAGTCGTTTAACACGCCGGTAGTAGTAGCAGCAGCAGATGCGTTCCCGAAAAGTGCCGCCGTCAAGCGGAAAAACGCGCAAAGCGTAACAGGAGGACTACTCCACAAATCTGGCTGTCCGCCTGACGAAGCTGGTTGTAATTACTGGCGAAACGTCGTACTCAGATTGTAAATGTCGTGGCTTGGCTCTCCAACACACAACCGGTGTTGCTGTACTAGTATACTACACTATACACTACTATACACTACACTACTATACACTACACTGTACACTACACACTAGTGCTGTACTAGTGGCGAATTGGCCACGTTCTGTTTACGTGACAAACCTCACTAATTGGCTGTGTCGGGTGGTGGCGGGTTTAACGACACATTTTATATATATATTTACACGATCTTACCCGAAATAACCTGTATTATGAGCGAAAACGATTTCACCGTAACGTTTACGATAAAGTTTTGGCGCGATGCGACGCACCACCACTACTACGCACGCGCGCTAAAGTGAGATGGTGGGACGGGTAACCCGAGGGTATCCCCGCCGCGTTACTGTATCATTCCGCGTACTGCATCACTGTGCCGCCCAGCTCGAGAAAAGAAGTTCGTCGCCGACCGCTCAGAAGCCGCGTCATCGCGGCACGCATCCCGCGTCATGCTAGAACCCGCGTCGTTGCGAAAATGCATTGTTAGTGTGAACACCGCGTGGCGAGAACACCGACGCGTTATGTGAGGACTTGCCGCAAAACAATACTTGCCCTCGCAGCACGCTACGCAGGCATGCGGTGGCGAGATGTTAATTACCTCGCTGGCACACACAGGAGGTCGTGGGTTCGACTGAGACCCTGGCGCGTGCTGTGTACTTTGAGTTTGCGTGCTCTCCCCGTGGCCGGGTGGATTTTTCCGCAGGTCCTCCCGATTTTCCCCCCCCCCACATTTAGAAGCGACGTCGCGTACTTAAAGAGTTAGTTGTCTGCGACAAATTTCCACGTGGCGATAAGCCCACGCTGTTGAGACGTCATTTGTGATGGCCAGGTCGCTTCTGAAAAAATAGCTACATAGCAGCTTAGTGGGGCCTTGCCTGGTGAAATAATTGTTTTTTTTTTAAAGTACAGTAGAACTCCCCTTAACGACGGTAATTGGTTCCACGAAACTGGTTTGATCGTTAAGTGAGTATAGGAAATGCACGTTAAAGGCTTAATTCGTTCCAATAGCACCGAAAAAACTAACAACATTATAAACACATGTTAAATGAAATATGGTTAATAAATGCATTCATTAATATTTACTGTACCTACAATAGGCCGTCGTTACCATGGGAATGGTTGGTAAGCAAAAACATTGCACTATACACTGCACAACTATACACTATACACTACACCACTGTACACTACATTACTATACACTACACCACTATACACTACACCACAATACACTACACTACTATACACTACACTACTGTACACTGACCACTATACACTATACTACTATACACTAGACTACTATACACTACACGACCATACACTCCACGACTATACACTACACCACTGTACACTACACCACTATACACTACACTATACACTACACCACTATACACTACACCACTATACACTACACTACTATACACCACACCAGTGTACACTACACCACTATACACTACACGACTATACATTATATCATTATACACTACACTATACCACTATACACTACACTACTATACAATACACTACTATACACTTCACGACTATACACTACACCACTATACACTACACCACTATACACTACACTACTATACACTACACCAGCGTACACTACACTACTTACACCACACCACTATACACTACACTACTATACACTACACCACTATACACTACACCACTGTACACTACACCACTGTACACTACACCACTGTACACTACACCACTATACACTACACCACTATACACTACACCACTATACACCACACCACTATACACCACACCACTATACACTACACCTCTATACACTACACCACTATACACTACACGAATATACACTACACGACTATACACTACACCACTATACACTACACTATACACTACACCTCTATACACTACACCACTATACACTACACTATATACTACACCACTATACACTACTATACACTATTATACACTACACCACTATACACTACACCACTATACACTACTATACACTATACTATACACTACACCACTATACACTACTATACACTACACACTACACTACACCACTATACACTACACTACACACTGGGCTCTATGGAGGCTCGTCGTCAAGCAATTCGTCGTTAACAGGAGTGCTCTATACACTACTAGGGTTGCTCGTCAAGAGGAGTCCTACTGCAGATAACGGGATACTCCACCCACCCCGCCCGTCCCACCCCACCCCATCCCCCTATGGGCGTACCGTTCGTGCAAACTCTTGTTCTCAGGCACGTGTTGCTTTTCCGGCGACGCGCTCACTAGGTGGTTGGTGGCCTGCAGGATGGCCAACCACTCGGGGTCCCACTCCAGCTGCAAGGGACCCTCCCCGGAGTGGGGGACGTCCAGCACCTGAGTGAAGGGGGGAGGGGGCGGGGGGGGCGGCTTTAGGTTTTTCGTTGTTGTTGTTGTTGTTCTTGTGACGACGGTATAAGCTTTTCCCCGCGTGCAAATTCGCTCGGGTTTAAATTTGCACGACCGAAACTTTAAAAAAAAACGGGTTGATTTTTTTTTGTACCCTTTTGCTGCGCACGTCTGCGCGCGTCTGCGTGACGCACGCGTGGTTGCATCAGAATCAAGGATAGGCATTTATTCTGGGGGTAATCCGATGAGACTTAAAAAGGCGCTAGCCACTATTCAGCAATTGCCCCAATAGTCTGTTAAGGCTATACGGGGGGTGGGGGGGGTGCAACGGACCTTTGCACCGTTATTGACAACAGGGCACAAGCAGTAGGCGCGTCTTACAATCCGGCGCGTCTTATAATCCGGCGCGTCTTATAATCCGGCGCGTCTTATAATTGGGAGCGTCTAATATTTCTGACATCGCGGTCGTCCTCCACATCTAGAGGTAAAAAATCTGCCATCTGGCACTGCCAGCCATGCCACAACTCAAACCCCGGAGCTGTCAACCCCTTATCAGGGCCCTACCTTATTACAGCCCAATTCAGACCTTATTGGTCACCCCGTGTGCCTTATAAATATCAACATTCATCCTATAAAGGCCCATCACAAGGAGAGAAACACAAACATATATTTTTTTGCCGCCGCCAATCAAAATCAGATCATAATATTTATTTATGCTGAAGGAATCCAATGAGCTATAATGTTCACATATGCCAGGTGGGGTTGGGTAAAACGTTACAACAACAAACAGTACAACAACACGATAGGAGTGCAAAGTACAAGAAAGGTAAATAAATCACCCAAACACAAACAAATACAACACTGAACCATCCCCACAGGAACAGACAAAGCCCCACTGAACTATGAACTTATTAGTTATTTCGGTAAAGTCACGACGAAGGGAAACAATAAAATAAAAATATATAGCACCACGAAAAAAACCCACCACTTTTTTCAAATTTTCTTGCTGTGGTTTTCACACCTGATGATGATTGCTTGTGTTGCAGTCGAAACGTCGTGAGAATTGTATTGTTTTATATATATTTTTATTTGATTGTTTCCCTTCTACGTGACTTTACCGAAAGAACCAAGAATATGAATCCCTGCAGTCACGAAAGCTTTACATGAAAATTTATTAACCTATTGTTCAAAAGCGACCTGGCCACAAATGATAGATCAGCAAAGTGGCCCATCACTTGGACATTTATAGCAGCAACATAATCTAAACCGTCTAAACGCACCTTGATTCAAAATGTGGAGGGAAAAACGAGAGGACCCGGAGCCAAAATCCACGCAAACTCCAAATATAACAACAGGCGTCAGGGACGTGATCGAACGCCCGGCCATCTGCATACCAGCCGAGGAAGTTAACGTCTCGCCACCACGGCACCCCTTAAATAAAGAAATTATAAAAGTTCAACGTCACTCAACAACAGCAGCCGACGCTGCCGCCCAGCTGTCTCGCCGTAGAATCTCGTCACGAGGGAAGGGCGGAGGACGGCGGGGGGGGGGGGGGACCCCACCTGTAAAAACTCCCGCTGAGGAAGGCATTTGTCCAGGGCCAGGAAGCGCGTCGTCTTCACGGCGTCCTCCCCTTCCTTTTTCTGGAAGGGGTGGGGGGGAATAAAAAGAGGATCTGTGAACGTCACTTTGAAACCCAGGGGCTCTTAACCACGGGGTGCCGAGATGCCCCTTTCGGGGGGGGTAGCGAGGCATGGCCAGATTCTTAGTTTTAGAAGGTAAATTATCGAAAGCACAAATTAAGCGCGGGGCACGCAAGTACAATTACTTTGTTTCATCAAACCCTACGTATTTATTAACATTCCATTTTTTTATAATTGAGAACCAATGGGGTGCAAGCTTGCAGTAAAGTTTAAGCACCGCTAGTCTATGGGCAGTGAGAGTCTATGGGCAGTGGAGTCTATGGGAAGTGAGAGTCTATGGGAAGTGAGAGTCTATGGGCAGTGTGAGTCTATGGGCAGTGTGAGTCTATGGGCAGTGAGAGTCTATGGGCAGTGAGAGTCTATGGGCAGTGTGAGTCTATGGGCAGTGAGAGTCTATGGGCAGTGTGAGTCTATGAGCAGTGAGAGTCTATGGGCAGTGGAGTCTATGGGAAGTGAGAGTCTATGGGAAGTGAGAGTCTATGGGCAGTGTGAGTCTATGGGCAGTGTGAGTCTATGGGCAGTGAGAGTACATGGGCAGTGAGAGTACATGGGTAGTGTGAGTCTATGGGCAGTGCGAGTCTATGGGCAGTGTGAGTCTATGGGCAGTGAGAGTCTTTGGCCAGTGTGAGTCTATGGGCAGTGTGAGTCTATGGGCAGTGAGAGTCTATGGGCAGTGTGAGTCTATGGGCAGTGTGAGTCTATGGGCAGTGTGAGTCTATGGGCAGTGAGAGTACATGGCCAGTGAGAGTCTATGGGCAGTGTGAGTCTATGGGCAGTGTGAGTCTATGGCCAGTGAGAGTCTATGGGCAGTGTGAGTCTATGGGCAGTGTGAGTCTATGGGCAGTGAGAGTCTATGGGCAGTGAGAGTCTTTGGCCAGTGTGAGTCTATGGGCAGTGAGAGTCTATGGGCAGTGAGAGTCTATGGGCAGTGAGAGTCTATGGGCAGTGAGAGTCTATGGGCAGTGAGAGTCTATGGTCAGTGTGAGTCTATGGGCAGTGAGAGTCTATGGGCAGTGAGAGTCCATGGGCAGTGTGAGTCTATGGGCAGTGTGAGTCTATGGGCAGTGAGAGTCTATGGGCAGTGAGAGTCTATGGGCAGTGAGAGTCTATGGGCAGTGTGAGTCTATGGGCAGTGTGAGTCTATGGGCAGTGAGGGTACATGGACAGTGTGAGTCTATGGGCAGTGTGAGTCTATGAGCAGTGAGTGTCTATGGGCAGTGTGAGTCTATGGGCAGTGTGAGTCTATGGGCAGTGAGAGTCTATGGGCAGTGAGAGTCTATGGGCAGTGTGAGTCTATGGGCAGTGAGAGTCTATGGGCAGTGAGAGTCTATGGGCAGTGAGTGTCTATGGGCAGTGTGAGTCTATGGGCAGTGTGAGTCTATGGGTAGTGAGAATCTGTGGGCAGTGAGAGTCTATGGGCAGTGAGAGTCTATGAGCAGTGAGAGTCTATGGACAGTGAGAGTCTATGGGCAGTGAGAGTGGTTCTTCACCTTTACTGCAAGGCCGCAGTAAAGGTGAATAACCACGGCTTTAACCGGGAAAATCTTACGGGGCACTTCACTCGACCGAGAGGAACGCTTCCAAGTTCATCGGGCGCAAACCAGTCCATCGACAGACGCGTCAAGCACGGGACACAGGCAACAGCGGGTTTGCCCGTAAGATGAACGACCACTTAACTCTCGCGAAAATCACGCGGCGCCGTATGCCGGCCGGCCGGCCTACGAATGAAATTGGGCGCGACGCACCTTGTGCTCCACGAAGGCGGCGAACTTGACGTGGAGGTGGGCTGAGAACCAGTACGTGGGCCGCAGGTGGTGCAGCAGCTCGGCGGCCGCGGGGCTGCCCAGCGTGTTGGTCTCCACCTCGTTCTGGAAGTGGCGCTTGCGCCGCACCAGCTCCTCGGAGCGGCCGTAGCGGTAGATGCCGCGCGGCCAGTCGTGCGACATGAAGACGTCGAGCGGCAGACGCAGCTGCGCTGGGGCGAGACGGGAGGAGGGCGAGCCAAGGGGGTTCTCTAAACGCGACGGGCGGCTGAAGGCTGCGCTGCAAACCGCGAGGCGAGGACGGGCGGTCGACTTGAGCGGTCGTAAAAACACTGTGCCGCAATTATACGGGCGAGCGACGCGGTGGGCATTTGGAAGCGATTTCGATCGACGTTTCGGATGCGCTGTTGCATGTTACTGGACACCTGTGAAATACTGCACATTAATACTGGACATTAATATTCTCATTCTGATATATGCGTGTATGTGCGTACGTTGCAAAGTCTTTTGAGCGCGACGCAGTCAACCACGCTAATCGGAGGTGCGGGGGAAGGACAACAAACTAAAAACACGAAAAGCAGTTCTAAAGAAAAGTGCAGAGCTCTGGCGGCTTCCTAATATCGGAAGGAAGAGGGTTCCAGACGGCCGCGGAAGCGCATCTGGAAGTGCATCTGGAAGCGCATCTGGAAGCGCATCTGGAAGCGCATCTGGAAGCGCATCTGAAAGCGCGCGATGCAGTGACCACCACCTTTGTTCGATGCCCGAGCCAAAAGCCGCCGCCACCACGGGGATGACCGGAGTTCGCGTGATGATGCTTTATAGCTCCTTGACAGCGAGATCAGCGAGGCCGTTGGATTTCGGTATTACAGCGAAGCCGCAGCACGCCCGCCATTAGACGCGCGTACCGCGAGACTTTGGGAAGCGATTTCGATCGACGTTTCAGAACTCGCTGTTGAACGGCCAGTGTTGACGGGAGCGCGGTGTCACGGCGCTGCGTGTGACGGCGTAGGCGCGGTGACAGAGCGCGGAGTCACGGCGTGTGCACGGTGACACAGAGCGGTGTCACGGCGTGTGCACGGTGACACAGAGCGGTGTCACGGCGTGTGCACGGTGACACAGAGCGGTGTCACGGCGCTCCGTGTCACGGCGTGTGCACGGTGACACAGCGCGGAGTCACGGCGCTCCGCGGTGCGTCACAGCCCAACGTCGCGGCACAGCGTGCACAAGTAGGCACTTGCCTGCTTTAACCTGAAGACGTCAAAGCTGCGCACGTGGTAGGCGCTCCGCAAAGTGTTCTGGTTGTAGGGAGGACTTTCAAAGTGACCTACAGCGCAAACAGGGGCGGGTGAGATAATACGTGGGGGGCGGGCGTAAGGGGTTAGCGCACGACAAACTCCAAGAAAGCGTCATAATGCGCAGGAAAAAAGGTGGTTTCCAGACAGCGGCAGGTGCGAATGAACGGTGGGTTGAATCAGAATCAAGAATCTTTATTTGGACCGGAGGAGGAATCCGATGGGCTATGAAGCTTTTTATTTTTCACAGATGTCCAGTCGGGGCAACGGGTCAGAAAATTACAACGACAACAACGCAAACCACGATAGGCAGTGAAAAGTGGAGGAAAAGGTAAGCAGGTCGCTAAACACGAATACAAATTTACAAAGTACAGTAAAACCTTGGATTGCGAGCATAATTCGTTCTGGAAACGTGTTTGTAATCCAAAGCACTCGTATATCAAAGCACACGTATATCAGTTGTGATCACGTGACGCTCGGCAGGCAAAGCGTATACGTACACTACTCGTATTGCAAGACCCTCGCTCGTTCATCAAATTCATATTTATTTAAAAAATTTGCTCGTCTTGCAAAACACTCGCAGACCAAGTTACTCGCAATCCAAGCTTTTACTGTATAAGTACACTTCTGAGCGGGCCCCTGTGTTGTCCGTGTGATATCACCAAACCGCATCTGTAACGCCTGCACTCATCCTCGTTTCACAGGTCAACTCACAGAGTGGAAATTGTGGCCGCGTTACTATAGGGAGCAGCGGGACAAAGAGGCAAATGGATACCGGTTTCACTCTTATTAAAAATCACCAGTACGGTAGAGCAATGACCGCCTACTCCCGTCTAGTGCCGTCAGGGGGTAACCTGTTAGCCTTAGGCACTGCCGAAGGATGACAAACGAATCGTACCAATTTCTGCCCGAGTTTTACCACCGTCCTATTTTGCGAATTAAAATAACGTGGTGATTGCTTCGCTATTCTGGCCCTACGATGCTGGATGTAATTACTGGCGAAACGTCGTACTCAAAACGTCAGCACTGGATTTAATCTCCAACACACCGGTGGGCTGAAGTGGTAACTAATTGGAGCGTTTTGCTTACGTGACAGACCTTACTGGCTGTGGAGGATTACGACACATTTACACTTACGCGATCTAACCCAAAAACCTTTAAGATAATATTGGTCGTGAAAGGCTACTACGTGTCAAACTGACTTTTTGTTGGGTCTAAAACCGGTCCGCATGCACCTGCGTGTCCGATGAGTTTCTTCCCGTTCGCAGCAAACGTCAGCAAAAACTGGTTTACAATAACGCCCGACTTACCATGAACGTGACAATATCATCGGAGGAGGGGAGGGGGGAGAGTTGTGAAGCTCGAGCTTCATAGTAAATACAATCTACAACGCGCGCGGATTTCATGAATCGGATGCAATGTTTGATTGTGAACTTGGGGTGAGGTCAACCACAGCCTCAAATATCCTTGTGTGCCAGCCTGGACCAGGTGAGAGCCTGGACCAGGTGAGAGACCTGGACAGGTGAGAGACTGAACCAGGTGAGAGACTGAACCAGGTGAGAGCCTGGACCAAGTGAGAGACTGAACCAGGTGAGAGACTGAACCAGGTGAGAGTCTGGACCAGGTGAGAGCCTGGACCAGGTGAGAGCCTGGACAGGTGAGAGCCCTGGACAGGTGAGAGCCTGAACCAGGTGAGAGACTGAACCAGGTGAGAGACAGAACCAGGTGAGAGACTGGACCAGGTGAGAGTCTTGACAGGTGAGAGTCTGGACAGGTGAGAGTCTGGACAGGTGAGAGACTGGACAGGTGAGAGCCTGGACAGGTGAGAGCCTGGACAGGTGAGAGACCTGGACAGGTGAGAGCCTGGACAAGTGAGAGACCTGGACAGGTGAGAGTCTGGACAGGTGAGAGTCCTGGACAGATGAGAGTCTGGAAAGGTGAGAGCCTGGACAGGAGAGAGACTGGACAGGTGACAGACCTGGACAGGTGAAAGTCTGGACAGAGGAGAGTCTGGACAGGTGAGAGACTGGACAGGTGAGAGACTTTGGACAGGTGAGAATCTGGACAGGTGAGAGACTGGACAGGTGAGAGCATGGACAGGTGAGAATCTGGACAGGTGTGAGCCTGGACAGGTGAGAATCTGGACAGGTGAGAGTCTGGACAGGTGAGAGTCCTGGACAGGTGAGAGACTGAACCAGGTGAGAGCCTGGACAGGTGAGAGACTGAACCAGGTGAGAGCCTGGACAGGTGAAAGCCTGGACAGGAGAAAGTCTGGACAGGTGAGGGCCTGGACAGGTGAGAGCCTGGACAGGTGAGGGCCTGGACCAGGTGAGAGTCTGGACAGGTGAGAGACTGAACAGGTGAGAGTCTGGACAGGTGAGAGCCTGAACCAGGTGAGAGCCTGGACCAGGTGAGAGCCTGAACCAGGTGAGAGCCTGGACAGGTGAGAGACTGAACCAGGTGAGAGCCTGGACCAGGTGAGAGCATGGACCAGTTGAGAGCCTGGACCAGGTGAGAGCCTGGACAGGTGAGAGCCTGGACAGGTGAAAGACTGGACAGGTGAGGGCCTGGACAGGTGAGACCCTGGACCAGGTGAGAGCCTGGACAGGTGAGAGACTGGACAGGTGAGAGACTGAACCAGGTGAGAGCCTGGACAGGTGAGAGACTGGACCAGGTGAGAGCCTGGACAAGTGAGAGACTGAACCAGGTGAGAGACTGGACAGGTGAGAGACTGAACCAGGTGAGAGCCTGGACAGGTGAGAGCCTGGACAGGTGAAAGACTGGACAGGTGAGAGCCTGGACAGGTGAGACCCTGGACCAGGTGAGAGCCTGGACAGGTGAGAGACTGGACAGGTGAGAGACTGAACCAGGTGAGAGCCTGGACAGGTGAGAGACTGAACCAGGTGAGAGCCTGGACAGGTGAGAGACTGAACAAGGTGAGAGACTGGACAGATGAGAGACTGGACAGGTGAGAGACTGAACCAGGTGAGAGCCTGGACAGGTGAGAGCCTGGACCAGGTGAGAGACTGAACCAGGAGAGAGTCTGGACAGGTGAGAGCCTGGACCAGGTGACAGCCTGGACCAGGTGAGAGCCTGGACAGGCCAAAGCCTCGACAGGTGAGAGTCTGGACAGGTGAGAGCCTGAACCAGGTGAGGGTGTGAAGAAGTGAGAGCGCACATCGCTTAAAAAAAATGCATAAAAAAATTATAAAACCATAAACTGTAATAATCCTTAAAAATGAGTGTTACAACAAACTAACGTGTCAGTCCTGGTGAACAACGGAGTTAACGGATCGGAAAATCCTTCATGTAGTTTGCGGGATGTTTCACGTTTTGGCGTTAAAACGTGAAAATCGCTGCAGCCGCAACGGGTTACCGCGGGTTATCGCAGGCAAGTGACCCCCACCGCACCTTTCCAGTAATCGTGCTGCTTGTAAATCCCTGAGAGGCCACCAATCCTCAAACCACCATAGCGCACCACGCCTGCGTAGCCTGCAATGGAACACAACGCAACGAAGGAGCACGTGCTTTACCCGAGCTCTTCTTGGCAATTTGAAAACCCACACACCCACTCAGTGTAAAAAAAAAGACAACCCAATGCATGCTCATTAGCGCGGAGGTCAATGCGAGCTTACCCATATAGAATATGTTCGGAGCGACCCAGCCTCCGTAAGACAACTCTTGCAAGTGATTGGCGGCCTCGTGGTTTCCGCCAATAAATACGGTTAAGATCGGGGCTTTCTTTTCTCCAGAGTAGTACCTGCACAGCGACAGGCAGACGACCGCGGCACTTCAGCGAACGCGTTAAAGACGGCGGGGTGGACCTGTATTAAACATTGGCAAGTGCTGATGGCCTGGAGTCTGTGCGGGAGACACGCGATTAAGACAGACTCGTAGTTCGTAGGAACAGTGGTTAAGAGAGAGCCTTTATTTATTCACCAGGTAAGTGGCGTGGAAGTGTCACAAACGTCACCCTGATCCACATATTCTTGCCACCAAACACTTGCATAGCAACTTTGGAGCAATGCAAGCTAGGGGAAAGTGCTATGAGTGGCAAGCAAACTCAAATAATCCATAAGAGGCTTTTGGGATGGATTGGGGAAATATAAATGCGTTGTTAAATCCGGCACCACCCAACACAGCCAATTAGTAAGATTTGTCACGTAAATAAAACATGCAACAACTGGCTGATGATGCATGTCGTACTCGAAATGTAAATGTTGTCGGTTTACTCTCCAACACACCGGTGGTGCTGAACTAGAAGCGAATTGGCACGTTTTCTTTACGACACAAACATGGCTAATTGGCTGTGTCGGGTCGTGGCGGGTTTAACGACACATTTAAAATTACACAATGTAACCCAAAAACCTCTATTATAGATAATATTGGTCGCGAAAGCCTACGTGTTACACAAACTCAAATGACAGGTATGAATGCGTTGCTTGAATAAAATAAATAAGCCACCGCAATAACAACAGCATCATAAATCACCATTCATCATTAACGCTGCATTAAAAAAACATACCAAAGATGACGTTTCAAGCAATGACCCCACTTCAGAGTAAATTATTTGGTGACGCTGCATTGGCAGTGGTTTACAAGCATACATAACAAAACATTTCAACACAGTTAACAATAAGACTGGCTAAAAAGGGTCAACGTTTCGGGCAAAGGCCCACATCAAATACTTTACTTGCTGGTACCAACCGAAACCCTAGCAATTCTACAAATTTCATCAAATCGCCGAAAACGAATGCCGCATCCACCTTATTGAACAATCATTGTCTTAACATAATGCACTTGTACGAGCCGTATACACAAACTGACGCGTGCATGCACAGATGTTGAACATCTTTCGCACCGCACGTAGCCGACGGCGCCAGTCGGGGGTGCGACCAGCTAGAACACTGGCCACGTCCAGTCGGGCAACCGAATTCCGCTTTGGCCCCACGCCCGAGAAGAACTGACGGGACGGGCGAATGGGGCGAGGCTTACTTGTAGAAGGTCTGCATTTGCCTGTACTTGGGTGGCACGGCGACGCATTTGAGGTCGGCCTCGTTGCGCACGGCCTGGAAGTCGCCACAGCAGAGGAGCAGGTCGACGGTGATGCCCTCGCGGTTCTCCAGGTAGGCGATCGTCTCGTAGATGCGGTCAAGCTCGCCGTGGCAGCAGCCTTCCACGGCGATCTTCATGGTCGGCGACTTGAGGGCAGCGCCGGGGGAGATCGGAGGTGGGGGGGGGGGGGGGAGGATGAAGGGCCGGGGAGGGTCTGCAAGTGCCACACGGTGGAAGAGAGAGGAGTTTTTTCAACGTGCCTTTTTGGAGCATTTGGCGACTGACAATACGTTTCCACGTGGTAAGCCGCTTCGTCGTGCTTTCATTTGTGATTGTCAGGATCACTTATGAAAAAGATATATACAGCTCCAATGGGCCTTACCCGGTAAAATAAAAAAAAGTTTCTAAGTTTCTCAACTAACTCAACCATTTAATTTTTTTACCAGGTTTTTCTTCTTGTGCATAGTGTCTCCTGTCCAACCTATGCGGACGGCCCTTTCCCAATATTCTGCACAGGCTACCGCTTCTGGTGTTGGCAAAGCCAAGTCTTGAGTAGCATGGTGGTGCTGCAGGGCATCTCAGGAGACGATCCATGTGGTTTGCTTTTCCTGACGACCATCTTGGTCGGATTGGTCAGAAGCCCTGTGATTTCACGAGAGACAGGGGATGCATTATACCTCCTCGTTGTGCATCCCGGTAACTTCTGGAGGGTTATTCCTCGGAAGGTAAAATCCATTAACCACTCATAAACCAACCGTGTCTACCCAAGAGGCGTGTAGACTAAAACAGCCCGCACTGTCAATCCACTCAATTGACATAGGATACTCACAGGCCAAACCTGACATCCTGGCAGTTATATCAGAGGAGTATGACATTGTATGCTGAACAGGAGACACACAAAGGTTTTACCAAGTAAGGCCCACTGAGCAAAATAGCATTTTTTTTCAGAAGCGACCTGGCTATCACAAATGATAGCTCAACTTAGTGGCTAATCGTCATGTGTAAATGTATAGCATCCAAATAATCTAAACGCGTGTTTCTAAATGTGGTGGGGGTCAGCGGGGGGGGGGGGGCGGGTAAGAACCGGAGGACCCGGAGAAAAATCCACGCGACCACGGGGGGAGACACGCAAACTCCAAACACACAGCAGGCGTCAGGGTCGGGGATCGCACCCACGACCTGCTGCATACCAGGCGAGGGCGTTCACATCTTGCTACGGCTGTCGGGTGACGGAGGCTTACGACACGTTTACACGCACACGATCTAACCCCCACCCACCCAACAATAGCAGTGCAGTACGGGAAAGAAAAACTAACTTTGATAAGAGCAGGTGGAGCGCCGTTCCTGCAAGTGCCCGAACGAGGCCTGACTTAAGGCCCCCGATACTGACCGGCAACAGGAAAGACCCACTACCACCACCCCGACCACCACCACCACCCACACCACCACCACCACCCACACCACCACCACCCACACCACCACCACCACCCACACCACCATAACCACCATCCACACCACGAACACCCACATCCACACCACCACCACCACCCACACCACCACCATCCACCCAACCACCACCCACACCACCAAAAATACAAAGATCCCCCGTATAGCCTGTAACAGACTGTCGGGGCAAGTGCTGTTAGCGAGCAGCACCTATGAAGGCCGGAACGGTACACGAGGGGGTGGGTGGCCAGCACCACGCCCGAACGCCTTTGTCTCTCCCAGTGGCGATGTTTACACACCGCACCAGGTACTCATTTCAGGCTGAGTCGACCTAGGGTAGAACCCAGGACCGGTTCAAATAATTCGTCACCGGGTGTTGGCCGTGAGCGGGAATCGAATTCGGCACGCCGGGTTCATAGCGCAGCGCAACGCTACCCGCTACTACCACCACCACTGCAGGAGCCGCGGGGGCCGGGGGAAGATACCGAGGGGGGTCGAGGAGGAGTCGATGAAGCGGTGTGAGAGGTCGAGAGAGAGTGTGAGGGCGAGGGGTAAGGGAGACAATTATTTTTTTTTAAATACAAAAAAATAAAAAAAGAGAATCGTGAGGCCTTCAATTCTCCGCCTCGATCGCGTGGGTCTCTTGCCCCGCGCGCCAAGCGTGACCTCTGACCCGTCCCGCCCCCGCCGGTGACGTCACCGCGAGCGACGGCCTCCCATTGGTCGGAGGCACGGCGCGAACCCAGACGCTTTATCATTATTCTATTTAATTTAAAGCTTTCGTGACTGCAGGATTAATATTCTTGGTTCTTTCGGTAAAGTCACGTAGAAGGGAAACAATAAAATAATAACGTTGTTTTGTATTTTTATTATTTTATTCTTTCCCTTCTACGTGACTTTACCAAAAGAACCAAGAATATTATTATTTTAACTAAGCGTGATTATTGTTAACTAAGTGTAATTGTTAACTAATTGTATTTTTGTTAACTAGTGTAAGTATTGTTAACTAAGTGTAATTATTGTTAACTAATTGTATTTTGTTAACTGAGTGTAATTATTGTTAACTTATTGCATTTTTTGCTAACCAAGTTGAATTATTGTTAACTAAGTGTAATTATTGTTAACTAATTGTATTTTGTTAACTAAGTGTCATTATTGTTAACTAATTGTATTTTGTTAACTGAGTTTAATTACTGTTAACTTATATTCTTGGTTCTTTCGGTAAAGTCACGTAGAAGGGAAACAATAAATAATAAAAATATAAAACAATAAAATTCTCACGACGTTTCGACTGCAACACAAGCAATCATCATCAGGTGTGAAAACCACAGCAAGAAAATTTGAAAAAAGTGACTTTTTTTTTAGACTGTTAACTTGTGTAATTTTGGTGATGATTCGTCTTCTCCTTTCCAGTGATGTGGAGGTGTTCCCACTCTCCCCGCCAATCTTCTCCACGCTGCCCTGTCTCCACGCTGCCCTGTCTCCTCGCTAATCTTCTCCACGCTACCCTGTCTCCACGCTGCCCTGTCTCCAGGCTGCCCTGTCACCAGGCTGCCCTGTCTCCAGGCTGCCCTGTCTCCACGCTGCCCTGTCTCCACGCTCTCCCTGTCTCCACGCAGCCCTGTCTCCACGCTGCCCTGTCTCCACGCTGCCCTCTCTCCACGCTGCCCTGTCTCCACGCTGCCCTGTCTCCACGCTGCCCTGTCTCCACGCTGCCCTGTCTCCACGCTGCCCTGTCTCCAGGCTGCCCTGTCTCCACGCTGCCCTGTCTCCACGCTGCCCTGTCTCCACGCTGCCCTGTCTCCACGCAGCCCTGTCTCCACGCTTCCCTATCTCCACACTGCCCTGTCTCCACACTGCCCTGTCTCCACGCTCTCCCTGTCTCCACACTGCCCTATCTCCACGCTGACCTGTCTCCAGGCTGCCCTGTCTCCAGGCTGCCCTGTCTCCACGCTGCCCTGTCCTGCGCCATCTCCCTTTCAGCTCCGCTGGCCACCACGGTCTGACCGCACCACATCACCCCCACCACCTCTTCCTCTTCTGCCTTCCTCTTCATCTCTTTCCTTCCGCTTGCATCGCTCGCCACCTTCTGACCCAATATCATTTCCCTGGCGTCTCTGAACGTGATAGAACCATACCGGCCTCTAATCTCTCTCTCTCATCTTCGCTGTGCTTTCTACCACCTTGAGTCTTCCTCTTACTTCTTAATTTATCACGCTGTCTTTCCTTGTCAAACCCAACATCCACGGAAATATCCTCGTCTCTGTTACTGTCCTCCCTCTCTCTTGTGCCCCAACACTCGGCCCCATACAACGGCATCGGCCTCACCACCGTCTTCTACTATACACTACACTATACACTACACTATACACTACACTAGACACTACTATACACTGCACTATACACTACACTAGACACTACACTATACACTACACTACTATACACTACACTATACACTACACTAGACACTACTATACACTGCACTATACACTACACTAAACACTACACTATACACTGCACTATACACTACACTAGACACTACTATACACTACACTATACACTATACACTTTTCCCTTCAACCAAACTGGGACCCTCTTCGGTTCTTTCGGTGAAGTCACGTAGGTATAAAATAAAATGAATCATTATTTTATTTTACCGAAAGAACCAACGAATATGGATTCCTGCAGTCACGAAAGCTTCAAATCAAGAATGGGACCCTCTTATCGCACACCACACCAGTCACCTCTCGCCATTTGAGCCATCCAGTCCTTGTTCTTGTTCACAATCTCTCCTTCGAGTGATCCATCAGCACCACATCGTTGAACCCAGGTACTTAAACTCGTTCGTCTTCATTAACTTAATTATGATTAATAAACCACCAACTTACGGGTTCCGTTCTGCTGAAATGTGCCCCGATGCCTATTGACACGTTAAATAAATAATTGATTGATCGATACCACACATTGTTAGGTAATTTTATGACCTAATTCATCACCATATAAAATGCATTCATGCGAACACACGTAACGTTCTTTAATATAATATTGCACGCTGTCATTAACATAATTTATGCAGATGCATTCACCTGCTGATTCCCACTCACCTGTGCCGGGGGTGCTGACGACGTCACGTCACCCACTTTTTAAGTTCTATGAAGAAGGACCGTTGCCTGAAACGTCGCCTATTATATACGTGTTGAGTTTGTATTTATTTACACAACCAACTCTGGGCCGGTTTTGACCTTCTGGGTGTCATCAGCAGTTTAGCGCCCGTTAGACAATACGCTGCTAGATTATCTCGTGATATTGGGAAGTCCACTCAATGGAGGTTCTGTTCAACACTCAAAAAACAATGCTTCTATTGCGCACAAATCAATTGCGAGTTGCTATGGAGCGTAACGGACGAAAGTAAATACACGCAGAACTCCGTTCTCCGTGTTTCCACGTGTACAGAATTCGTACGTTAGCACAGACCAATGTAATATTGACGTTTACCCGCAATGATTCACAGCACCAAACAATGAGTTTGCGCGCAAGGTTAGGGGTCCTGCGGGAAAATTGCCCTCGCTTAGCACGCCCCCAAATGGTCGCGTGGATTTTTTTGTCTTTCTCCGGGTGCTCCAGTTAGTCCCTCCACATTTAGAAATAGGCGTCTATATTATTTGCATTATTTAGCTCCTATAAATTGCCACGTGATGATGATGAGCCACTTCGTTGAACTATCATTTGCGATGGCCAGGTCGCCTCTGATAAATAAGCCAATTGCTCAGTGGGTTTTACCTTTTAAGATAAAAAAAAACATCGTTTAGTTTTATTTTCATATATTTTCAAGCGATTTTCTATCCTTTACACTGATATTGATTGTTTTTTGCATTGTTGTTCTAAGGTTCCGATCCGCTCCTACTGGACATCTGTGGACAAAAAGAGCCGTGCAGCTCATCAGATTCCTCCGGCGTAAAAAAAAATTATTCTGATTCTCGAACGAACCTACCCGAATGTCAATCGCGACACGTCAACAGATGAGCAGCGTCAACGCCAAAATCTCCGACCGAAAAGAAGCAAAGGAAATGCGAATGGTAATTTTTGTTTGGTTTGGTATCAATAAATGAATTCCACGGGAGTTGAAAATGAAGGAGAGCCTTGTTCATCTTCTTTGGTTCTTTCGGTAAAGTCACGTAGAATGAGAATAAAATAATAAGTTGATAAAATAAAATAACACAATAATAATTTATTATTTTATTCTCATTCTACGTGACTTTACCAAAAGAACCAAAGAAGATGAATCATTGCAGTCACGAAAGCTTTAAATCGAAATTTGAGAGCCTTGTTGTTTGTGTGTGTGTGTTTTTGCGCAAATGGAGAGTGTTCAAGCACGTGTGTAATTGCCCCAATCAGTCGGCATTCTGTGTGATCACAGGCGCACGCGCGCAGGGGTCATGCATTTTGTGAGAGAACAAAAAGTCTTCTTGTGCGGGTTCACAGCCTGGCACATTCACATCACTCCATTGAGTCTTCTTGTACGGGTTCACAGCCTGGCACATTCACATCATTCCATTGAGTCTTCGTGTGCTGGTTCACAGCCTGGCACATTCATATCACTCAGCTGAGTCTTCTTGTGCGGGTTCACAGCCTGGCAAATTCACATCACTCCATTGAGTCTTCTTATTTTACGGATTCACAGCCTGGCAAATTCACATCACTCAGCTAAGTCTTCTTGTACGGGTTCACAGCCTGGCACATTCACATCACTCCATTGAGTCTTCTTGTGCGGGTTCACAGCCTGGCAAATTCACATCATTCCACTGAGTCATATTGTGCAGGTTTCCCGCCTGGCAAATTCACATCACTCAGCTGAGTCTTATTGTGCGGGTTCACAGCCTGGCAAATTCCCATCACTCAGCTGGGTTTTATTGTACGGATTCACAGCCTGGCACATTCACATCACTCAGCTGAGTCTTATTGTACGGGTTCACAGCCTGGCAAATTCACATCACTCCATTGAGTCTTATTGTACGAATTCACAGCTTGGCACATTCACATCACTCAGCTGAATCTTCTTGTGCGGGTTCACAGCCTGGCAAATTCCCATCACTCAGCTGGGTCTTATTGTACGGATTCACAGCCTGGCACATTCACATCACTCAGCTGAGTCTTATTGTACGGGTTCACAGCCTGGCAAATTCACATCACTCAGCTGAATCTTCTTGTGCGGGTTCACAGCCTGGCAAATTTACATCACTCCACTGAGTCTTCTTGTGCGGGTTCACAGCCTGGCAAATTCACATCATTCCATTGAGTCTTCGTGTGCTGGTTCACAGCCTGGCACATTCACATCACTCAGCTGAGTCTTCTTGTGCGGGTTCACAGCCTGGCACATTCACATCACTCCATTGAGTCTTCTTGTGCTGGTTCACAGCCTGGCAAATTCACATCACTCCATTGAGTTTTATTGTACGGGTTCACAGCCTGGCAAATTCACATCACTCAGCTGAGTGTTCTTGTGCGGGTTCACAACCTGGCACATTCCCATCACTCAGCTGAGTCGTATTGTACGCATTCACAGCCTGGCACATTCACATCACTCAGCTGAGTCTTTTTGTGCGGGTTCACAGCCTGGCAAATTCACATCATTCCGCTGAGTCTTCTTGTGCGGGTTTACAGCCTGGCAAATTTACATCATTCCATTGAGTCTT